ATATCTTCGGACACACTCATCGCCTCTCTGATCACCTTCCTTTCACAAAAACATATGCAATTTCCAATCAAATTCCTTCCCTTGATTTTTATGGTTTGCTTCAAGTTTAAAATGCCTACTAAACCTTATCCAACGCCAACAAATCATGGTTCCTTAGCATTTCCAACGGTGCACCCTTGCGAAGCCATATCTCTGATGACCCTGATCGCCTCTCTGATCACCCTCTCACAAAACATATACAATTTCAAATCAAATTCCTTCGTCACACAACGATGAAACTCCAGAGAAACGTCACGCCAAATCGCCATCCTCCTCCTATTCTTACAAGAAATCCAAGATAGTGGTTCAGTTATCCCTAACGACGTCGTTCTCTGCTTCTCAGTGCTCCACCTCACTTTCCAAAAAATCCACTTCTTAATGCAAGATTGTACTCGCGACGGTTCTCGCCTTTGGTTGCTAATGAAATCCTAATATGTCATCGTTGAGTTTCGTGCCCTAGCATTCCCGGCGGTGCACCCTTGCAAAGCCATATCTCCGGCAACCATCCTCGCTTCTCTGATCACCCTCATCTCACAAAACATATGCAATTTTCAATCAAATTTCTTCCCTAGATTTTCAAGATTCGCTTTAAGTTCGAGATGTCGACTAAACTTTATCCAACACCAACAGATCGTCGTGCTCTAGCATTCACGGCGGTGCATCCTTTCGAAGCCATATCTCCGGCGACCCTCCTTGTCTCTCTGATCACCCTCTTCTCAAGAAACATATGCAATTTCCAATCAAATTAATTCCCCAAACTTTCATAGTTTGCTTCAAGTTCAAAATGCCTACTAAATCTTATCCAACACCAACAGATCGTCGTGCCCTAGCATTCCCGGCGGTGTACGCTTGCGAAGCCATATCTCCGGCCACCTTCATCGCCTCTTTGATCACCTTCTTTTCACAAAACATATGCAGTTTTCAATCAAATTTCTTCCCTTGATTTTTATTGTTTGCTTCAAGTTCAAAATTCCTACTAAACCTTCTGCAACACCAACAAATCATGGTTCTATAGCATTCCCAACGGTGCACCCTTGCGATATCTCTGGTGACCCTCCCCACCTCTCTGATCACCCTCTCACAAAACATATACAATTTCACATCAAATTCCTTCGTCACACAACTACGAAATGCCAGAGAAATGTCACGCCAAATCACCATCCTCCTCCTATTCTTCCAAGAAATCCAAGACTGTGTGTTGTTAAGTCATCCCTAACGACGTCGTTCTCTGCTTCTCAGGACTCCACCTCACCTTCCAAAAAATCCACTTCTTAATGCAAGATTATGCTCGCGAAGGTTCCCTCCTGTGGATGCTGATGAAATCCTAATACGTCGTCGCTGAGTTTTGTGCCCTAGCATTCCCGGCGGTGCACCCTTGCGAAGCCATATCTCTGGCGACGCCTGTCTGATCACCCTCATCTTACAAAACATATGCAATTTTCAATCAAATTCCTTCCCCAGATTTTCATGATTCGCTTCAAGTTCGAAATGTCGACTAAAATTTATCCAACACCAACAGATCGTCGTGCCCTAGCATTCACGGCGGTGCACCCTTTCGAAGTCATATCTCCGGCGACCCTCCTTATCTCTCTGATCACCCTCCTCTCACAAAACATATACAATTTCCAATCAAATTCCTTACCCAAATTTTCATAGTTTGCTTCAAGTTCAAAATGCCTACTAAACCTTATCCAACACCAACAGATTGTTGTGCCCTTGCATTCCCAGCGGTGTACCCTTGCGAAGCCATATCTCCGGCCACCCTCATCGCCTCTTTGATCACCTTATTTTCACAAAACATATGCAATTTCCAATCAAATTCCGTCCCTTGATTTTTATGGTTTTCTTCAAGTTCGAAATGCCTACTAAACCTTCTCCAACACCAACAAATCATGGTTCCATAGCATTCCCAACGGTGCACTATTGCGAAGCCATATCTCCGGTGACCCTCCCCACTTCTATGATCACCCTCTCACAAAACATATACAATTTCCAATCAAATTCCTTCGTCACACAACTACGAAACGCCAGAGAAACGTCACGCCAAATCGCCATCCTCCTCCTATTCTTCCAAGAAATCCAAGACCGTGTGTGGTTCAGTCATCCCTAACGACGTCATTCTCTGCTTCTTAGTTCTCCACCTCACCTTCCAAAAAATCCACTTCTTAATGCAAGATTGTGCTCGCGAAGGTTCCCGCCTTTGGATTCTGTTGAAATCCTAATACGTCGTCGCTGAGTTTCGTGTCCTCATTCTGGCTATGGCCACTGCTCTCGACGTGTTGTCCCTCCATAGAATTGAGGCATGTGGTGAGGTAAAAGAAAGCACGCTGCCTCATCACTTATGCCTTTGCTTTATCCACTTATTACGAATGATACTCCTCATGCGGCAAAGAAAGCATGCTCCCTCATCAAAGTTCTATAAGATCTCAACGAGAAAATAACTTATGGATCGATGTGTTAATTTGTTTCAATGTGGTTGTTCACTTATCTTGAATTTAATGTAAATGCGGTTTGAATGCACCCCAGCTATTTGATTATTCTATTGACTTGATTTTTATTCTTCCGAAATGTAGGATTCACATATGCATCATATATATTTGATTATTTTATATCTTGGTGGTGATTCATTTGATTTAGGGATGGAGAGGGATTTGATCCCTTAATACTTGATAGAGATATGGTCTTCTTTTCACAGTCTTCAAGCGGTTATCTGGTGGGGTCAAGATAATCACGTGTTGATGTGCTTGAACCCAAAATCTTAACTCTAAACACATGATATGCAGTGGTGATATTTATCCGAGCCTTGTTTTCTCATTCTTTAACTTCGTAAATTAAATTCACAAAATATTCTGTTTCTCTAAATATTTGATAAATTAAATTCTTGGGTTACAAATTCCAATAAATTAAGCAAATTATAATTTATTCTTTTATTTCTTTTGTAAAAGTGTGAAAATGTTTTGACAAACAAATTTAGAGTGAAGAAACAATTACTTCACAATTGGCTCAAGGTAGTATGCCTTTAAATAAATAAAAAATTATTTAAATTTTAAATAACAAATATTAGTTTGTGTCTTTTTCTCTCTTAAAATGAGACAACTCCATATTCTTTAAAAAGACAAATATTTTTTTCCATAAAATCGTTGATTTTCGATTCCCAAGTCTTATCCTATGTTTCACTTTTGATATGCACTAAACAAGTCTTCTGATAGGATATGTTGATATTAAATAATTGTGACAAATAATTTATCCTAACTAATATATTGATACTAAATATTTGTGACAAAATATTATAAACACAAATGCTTCAAATCATTAATGACTAATACTCTGTCACTATTTTAAAAATTAATTTATAACTTTTGTAATTATCACTAATATAATATAATATTAATGACGAAGCTGATTTTTTTCCCTAATACTTTTTAATAATAGTAGTGACAAATTTTTTGTAATTATCACTAATATAATATAATATTAATGATGAAGTTAAATGTTTGTCCCTAATACTTTTTTATAATAGCAGTGACAAAAATTTTACCATTATATTGATATTAAATATTTGTGACGAATAATTTTAGGCATAAATGCTTCAAATCATTAATGATGAATTATTTGTCACTAATTTTGAAAAATGAATTATTTCTTCATACTTTTGAAAAATGAATTTAATTATTGAGTATAAGTAATTTAGTTCTATTATAGTTTTTATGAAATTGAGCACATTATATCGTAATTTAATACCATCTTTTGCCATCAAGCCAGGTACATATATATGAGAAAAAAAAATTTAAGTTAGTTGAGATAGTTATCTTATGTTCGTGAAACAAAATTATAAGAGGGACCCACAAATAATTGGAGAGAAAAAAATAGAGGTGGGGTCCACCTTTGTTAAATTTCAAAGGTGTTAAATTTTAAATTTGACACTTATATCAAATGAACCTACCTATATATATATAATGAGAGTTATACCACCTTGCTAGCTGATGATGATCACTGTACCGAGTCAATAAGCAAAGTACCTATGTAATATGCATGATGGTGGTGCAAATTTCTGACCTCATTTTACAACACTTAGCCACAAGAGGGATGGAGTTGGGCCTTCATAACAAGGATTTCCTTCTGATTAAGGGCTTTATTTTAGCAATATTGATTTACGTACCAAGCAGATTGAGTTTTAGAACTAAGAAAGTGAACCGTTCAAAATGGAGCAAGGCCTGCTATCAATTTTTCATTCATGAGCCCAACCTCCAGACTTTGTCCACATGCATTCAAAGTGACTGCCAAAATCCTTTTGCTCCATCTTTTGAACAATGTGAAGTGTGGGCGACCAAATCATACTATCGAGCACGTGATGATGAGAGTATATATTCGATTCTTCTTAGTATTATTTTTAAAGTCTTAATTTTAGAATCCGCTCCTAAACAATGAATCAATTGAAATATGCCAAAAAATGTGGAGCTTGCGGTGATATTTTATTTAGTCATTGTTTTTTTCTTTTGGAACAAATTTTTAGTCATTGTTTGCACCAGATATAATTGTTTTCTTTCTTTAAAAAGTACTCCAAAAAAGTTTTTTTTTTAAAGTAAGTATGTACTTAATAATACAAGAGATGTTATGCTTGCTACTTTTTATTATTAAATTTTAATTGTTGATTTTCGTCAATTTAACGATTATAATTTATTGAAAATTAATAATTAATTAATAAATATAACCTAATAAACTACAATAATTAAATTGACGAAAATCAACATATTTAATAGTAAAAAATAATATTTGAAAAAGAGGGACAGTAAATATAACTCCATAGTAGTATATGACATTATGTGACAAGTTCGATTTCTCAAGAGTTAACGCCTAGGCTATAGCAGCCACATAAGCAAAATTACAAATTGCAATTCTTAATGTTCAATTGCAAATATGTCCCGAAACAAGCAGCCAGAAACAAAAACATAGGAAGAGAGAGTGCGCAGTCCGATGATGAAAATTGGTATGCCCTTGTGAAGTTTCAAACACAGTATTATTAGTACTAATCCCTCCATGGCAGAAAAGCTGGCTTTCCCTCTTTTGCTGCCAAATCCAAAACCCCTTTTTCCCAATCACCATTCAACCACCACTCCCATAACGCCTCTTCTTCAAGACTTCTTTTTGAACCAAAACCACACTTCTTCTCCCCCCGACGCCGTCTCCAACCGCCGCAACCGCTGGTCAAGTCACCGCCTTTCCTCTCGAGGTCAGACAATTCTCCAAACCTTAATCGACCCTTCTTTTGATTCCAATCGCTTCCATGATATTTTCCCACAGCTATTTGAACAAGCCAGTTCTTCTACCCGGGACTCCTTGTCTTGGGATATTTTGGGCATAATCAAGGGTTTAGGGTTTTACAACAAATGTGAACTTGCATTGACTGTGTTTGATTGGGTTCGAGGTAGGGAGGATCGCGTTTCGCTTTTGAATAGTTCTGTAATCGCTGTGATTATTAGCATTCTTGGTAAGGCGGGTAGGGTTTCATCTGCGGCATCTTTGCTGCACAATCTAGAAATAGATGGGGTTGAGGTAGATGTGTATGGCTATACTTCTTTGATAACTGCTTATGCCAATAATAAGAGGTATAGGGAGGCCTTGAAGGTATTTAACAAGATGCAAGAAGTGGGGTGTAAACCTACTTTAATTACTTATAATGCCATTTTGAATGTTTATGGGAAAATGGGCATTCCTTGGACCAAGATTATTGCTCTTGTTCAGGAAATGAAAATCCATGGGCTTGCCCCAGATTTGTGCACTTATAATACACTTATAAGTTGTTGTAGGAGGGGATCTTTGTATGAAGAAGCTCTTGACCTTTTTGAGGAAATCAAGTTAGCTGGATTTGTACCTGACATGGTTACGTATAATGCATTGTTGGATGTTTATGGTAAGTCCAGACGGCCTAAGGAAGCCATGGAGGTTCTGAAACAGATGGAAAGTAATAGTTTTCCTCCAGGCATTGTTACCTACAACTCGTTGATATCGGCTTATGTTAGAGGTGGTCTCTTGGAGGAAGCATTGGAGCTTAAAACCCTGATGGTGGAAAAAGGGATTAAACCTGATGTTTACACCTACACCACCCTTTTGTCAGGATTTGTAAATGCTAGAAAAGATGAGTTTGCAATGAAATTTTTTGAGGAAATGAGAACAGCAGGCTGCAAACCTAATATCTGCACCTTTAATACCCTTATTAAGATGTACGGTGACCGAGGAAAGTTTGCGGAAATGGAAAAAGTTCTTAAGGAGATCAAGGTATGCAAGTGTTCCCCTGATGTTGTTACTTGGAATACGCTTTTGGCTGTATTTGGACAAAATGGATTGGACTCTGAAGTATCAGGGGTATTTAAGGAAATGGAGAGAGCCGGGTGTGTGCCTGAGAGGGACACCTTCAACACTCTAATAAGCGCATACAGCAGGTGCGGTTCCTTTGACCAAGCTATGGCTGTTTATAAGAGAATGCTGGAAGCTGGAGTCACTCCAGATCTTTCTACTTATAATGCTGTTTTAGCGGCATTGGCTCGAGGAGGGCTTTGGGAACAATCTGAGAAAGTCCTTACTGAAATGAAGGATGGTCAATGTAAACCTAATGAGATAACATACTCCTCTTTGCTTCATGCTTATGCCAATGGTAAGGAGATTGAAAGGATGAATGCTCTTGCAGAGGAGATATACTCTGGCACAATTAAAACACATGCTGTTCTTTTGAAGACCCTTGTTCTAGTAAATAGCAAAGTTAATCTCCTAGCAGAAACAGAACGCGCCTTTTTGGAGTTTAAGAAGAGAGGAATCTCGCCTGACATAACTATTTTGAATGCAATGCTTTCAATTTATGGGAGGAAGAAGATGGAAGCCAAAACCAAAGAGATTCTGAACTTTATGTATGAGAGTGGATATACTCTGAGTTTGACTACTTATAATAGCTTGATGTATATGTACAGCCGATCTGAAGACTTCCAAAAATCAGAAAAAATCTTGAGGGAAATTCTGGAGAAAGGTATCAAGCCTGATATAATCTCATACAATATAGTTATTTATGCATATTGCAGAAATGGCATGATGACAGAGGCTGAAAGGATATTTGAAGAAATGAAATCTCCTGCACCTGTTCCTGATGTTGTAACTTACAATACATTTGTAGCAACTTATGCTGCTGACTCCAAGTTCATGGAGGCTATGGATGTAGTTCGGAACATGATCAAGAAGGAATGTATGCCAAACCAGAATACTTACAACTCCATAATTGATTGGTACTGTAAGCTCAATCTGCGAGATGAGGCACACAATTTTGTTCAAAACCTTGGCAACCTTGATCCGCATATATCTGACGAGGAAAAAAGCAGGTTATTACAGCGCATGGCAAAGAAATGGTCGTAAGTTGATCCATAATTTCCTCTTTCCCTGCCAATGTTGTGTAACATTTGGGTAAGGAGGTTGACATAAACCCAGTGAAGTTGTAACTGGATTTTTTATCTGAAGAAAGATACCAGTATATGCATTGCGGGTTTGATATTATTACAGGAAGGTGGGAAATTATAATTAGGAAGAGGGGAGAGGTCGATTTTGAAGGTTAATAATACAATTATAGCGATGAAATGAAGGGGGAAAAACTTGTGCAGAGTGAAGGCTTTTAATGCAAAAGCCTTTCTAATAACTTCTTGTAGGATTTTGTATTGTTTGTGTGCAACAAAATTTTTGCATGCTCTTCTTTTCTGGATCACCGTTAATTAATGATTATTCCTGCAGGCATGGCTGCTGTTTGTCTAAAGCTTCAACTTACTACCAATTTGTCTCAATGCATGTAGAACTTTTTGAATAAGTAAGCACTTCTTAAGAGAGATCCATTACAATTAAGTATTTCGTAGAAATCACCAATTAACCAACCATTGGTTCAGGTGCTAAAAAGTTTGTTCTCTTTAATTAGAAGTTTTCGACTTCAAGCTCTAGGAATTGAAAAAATAATCATGGAAGAGTTGCTCCTTATAATGGGTCTAATAATGCTCGAATCGAACTAATTGGATAATCGATTAATCTGTAGATATATAATAAAATAAAATCACCAATTAAAGGAAGACAACTTCTAATCACTTTTTTTTGGTTAATTTGGAAGTTTCTATCTAGATTCAAGACTAATCTCCGCCAAAATTTCTTGTCTCGTACGTCTAAAAATTTGCTCTAGCATATGTTGAAAAGTAAGAAAAGTTGCATACGACGTGGTTCAATGAAGTACTAGATGTTTGGTTAATGCTCTAAATGAGAGAGGCCACTTTCGCAGTTGAAAAAAGTGAAGAGAAGTGGTTGAGGCCAGACCCAGACCCACATTGACTTTAAACACAGGAGATGACGATTGACTTGGTTTTCACAACTATTTCCAAGAAACCAAAATTATTAATACGAATGTCATACCCGAATACAACATTGGTAAAAATAAGTTGGAAATTTTCGTGGTGAGATTACCATAAAACATGGTGGAGCACAAGCCCGGACTAATTATTGTAGCAAATGGATTAAGTTGTTACGAATTGACTAAATATACAATTTTGTCAAGCTACTTCTGTTGTTTTAATATCTGAAAGCATCGGTTAATAGCTGATATTGAGATATAATGGAAAAGATGACTTGAAACGTTAAATATGCATGTTTAACAATAATTGGATAATCCTACCAATGGATGTTTTTCAATCTTCCTGTAATTTCACCTCTTTTATCATTTAGCTTCATTAGGCAAGCCGTCTGTCTACCAATGACAACCGCAACTAGAAACCGAGCGATCACTTCTTCCATCACGTCATTGTTAAAAATTGTCTAAGCATCTTGTGATTCTTGGAGTTTAGAAGATTCTTGTAGGTTGAGAAAAGTGGTTCCGCTGTTCTTTGTCCTCTAGTTTCGGAAAGGTTTACTTTATATGCATATGGTGTGGTCCATGTTGGAAGGATAAGTAGTCTCATTATGCATGACTTCAATACGAGTGCTGTGCTATCTCAGTGATTTTCATTACTGTGGTGTACTGCTACTACTCCCTGATTTTGTTGTGGTCTTTGATGTTAGGCAATTTGATTAAGTGGTAGTTAGGATTTCTCTTTCTTCCTTTCATTTTTTAATGGTTGGTTTAGAATAGATTAAATATTCCAATGTGCTTGTGTTGGGGATGGGATACGTTCGTTTATAGAACATTAGAGATTTGGGAAATTAGGTGATGTTGAGATACATTCTTTCGGAGGCAATAGAGATTTGCATCTAATCGTTCATTTCGGGAGTATATTAGGTGAAGATGGGATTCAACGCCATTTCGCCATCCATGTATACAGTTTATTTTGCAATTTAATGTTACGTGTGTAAAATCTTTGTTTCATGTTTAGCAATTTTTGCCTCCTCCTCCTCCTTCTTTTTACTTAATAGTTTTTATTCTTCTTCTTGTTACTTAAATCTTAAATATTACGGTAGAATATACTGAGTCGACTATGCTGAGCTCGACAAGCGGTAGTGGTGTGCATGTGTGATGCACGAATAAATCTTTGGTATTACTGTTGTACCTAGATTCAGTGCATCCCATAAATGAGAGTTTTACACATCAGAGGAGAGAAAAAAAATTTGACAAGAAAAAAAAGTATTTTAGCTGACATGTAATATTTTCATTGGTGAAATGTACTGAATCTTTAGTACAACAGTAGTACCAAAGATTTATTCGTGATGAACCAAGACCCATCTACTTCACCCAAAAGACAATCTAGAGAGGTGAAATAAAGATTTTCAAAAAAAAAAAAGAGGTGAAATAAATACTTATAAACCCTTCCATTTCTCACATCTTATCCAATGTGAGACTTTTACTCACGCACCCTTTCATCTTCCATTTTTCTCTTCCTAGATACGAATTCTAACAATTCATTGATTAGATAAGGCTGACAAATATGCCAATTCAACTTTCCACAAACAACAAATTTGACCATTATCACAAAGGGTTTTGCATAAAAACGTGTTAGCGGTTGGTTTTTTATTTAAAGTTTGACCATTCATTTCAAAACTAAATTATTACTATTCACCTCATATAATATTATTATCATATAATAATGGAAAGTCTTCATTATCCTTAAAATCAATGCATGTGACTACCAAAATAAAAAATTAAGCAGACTGCTCCAACGACTTATCACAAATTTTCTGCCCTACTGTGGAAATGACACAATCAAGGTTTTGCATGCATTTATCATGGGCAACACCAACGCGCTTATGAAAAATATCCACTTGCCCATCCAGCAGTTCTAGCTGGTTGCCTGGTTGGTGAAACGTCAACAACGCTTTCCTCGTACTCGTAATTCATGACGAACATCACTGGGATATCAATATCATGACTAACCAATCAATACAAATATTATTTTCTTTCTTTCCAAAGAAAAACAAAATTGATATCATCAAACCCAAAAAAAAAAGACTTCACAACTATACATATGCTTATCTGCACAAGCAAGAATCTGTCAGCAACCTCCAGTTACTATCTATGCAGTAATTTGCATCTTATCTCAAGAATCCCCTTCATGTACTAACAATATTCAACTTCTCCTATAAATAAATTTTCATCCCAAATAAGGTCAGTTATGATCCTTTGAAGCAATTTCAATCTTTAGGCAACTGTACCAAGCATACTCTGTTCTGCCTCATCCGCATTGAGGGAAAAGATATCAACAGGGGCCGTTGTATAGCCAACAGCAGTTTGCTTAAATCTACCACTAGAGGAGCCCGCATGGTGATCAAGATAGATTACAATAACAGTGATATCATCATGGAAGTGTCGTCTTATTCCTTTGTCAATTTTCTTTATGTCATCGTATCTCATCTCTCTCTTCTTTGCAGCTTCCTGAAGAGCAGCTCTCACTAGTCTCTTGGCAATTCCCTGCAAGTGCCAGAAAAAAAAAAATCAAAATCCATTTAAGAATCTACAAAGTTCATCATAATACGCAACTGGAACAGAGGACACTTACAGCTCTTGGATATTTGAAAACAATCTCAACTGCTGCTTCATCACTTAATTGTTCCCAAAGGCCATCTGATGCAAATATCAAGAATAAATCTCCTGATTCAAGCTCCCTAATAATGACTGATGGTTCAGCGGTCATTACAGGACGCTTCAAAGGAATGGGATTTCCAAATTGCTGAAAAACTGGGTCTCTATAGAAATCAGGTCTCTTCAAATACACATCACCAATAGATCTTGACACCTGCAACACCAAAACTGATAGGATCAGACACCCTAAACCCATTTATCTGCAGGAAGATAAACCAGGAGTAACCTCCCTGCACCTTGTTCATACAAGAGAGGCAGGAAAATATGGAAGGCACAGCAGGGGATCAAAGAATAGAGCATCCAAGTCCTCACTATTAACCAATTACAGGATGCCTCAAGTTCTATTTCACATTTGTGTAGAATGCTGGAAATACATCAAGTTCATAATAACCGTGCAAAGCAGGTAAAGAAAGGTTGAAATAAGAAACACATAAAATAGATGAACATGGTTTTACTTGTAATTGTAAATAAAAGCATCAACACCTGAAGAAATTACGCTACAATCAGACACATTTAGCAATATGCAACATAAAGTTCAAAATTAAAATGAGGAAGGTATCAAAGGTACAAAATATCAGTGTATTATACCTGTATAATGCCCTTAATCCTCCAAACTCCCCGGCTATAGACCACAACGTGTGAGTCATCAGGATGAAGAGCTTCAACTTCTCTTCTCACCTCCTCATCAGCTACATTATGATCCGTTGACAAGCGCTCTGCCACCACGGAAGAATTTTTGCTCTCCGTATCCCTCCTGCCAAGAACAACTCTAGAGTCTCCGAGGTTGGCAACATACAACACATTATTAGAAATTGCACCAAGAAGACAACAAGATCCTACGGAAGCAATCTGGGGACTAATGGGCAACGATAGCTTCACCAAGTGCAAGAATTCCTCCTCCGTGGCACTAAACGCCTTCTTTATCACATCCACCGACAACCCCCCTTGCTCAGTGGCAAATTCTACAAATCAAAATAACAAATAAGTCAGCAGCTGCACACAAAAAAAAAAACAGGAGCAAAACCACGTGTTTCTATTGAGGAAGTAAAATTGACAAGACAAAAACAGTTTGTAACTTTTTATGTATCATAAACACAGAAAAACCAATCAACCAAATACAAAATATCGATGTTATATCTTCCTGAAACATCCGACCGATAAACCTCCTAATACTTAATAAAGAAAACATTAAATAAAAAATATATTCTCATTTTGAAAACACTAAAGGTAAAGGCATGGAATATTTTTTATTTAATAATAATCATTGAAATGGACCCAAATGAATAAAGATTGAATCCTCAAACCGGTGTTTGGACAATATTCATCCATTAGTTCTAATACCGCAACAGAACAAAGAAATCAGGACCAAGCTAAACAGTTTTATCATCATGTCATAATCAACTACGAATCAGAACGCAACCAAACCAAATTGAAAGAGGGTTACTGTGCAAATAAGGGAAGAGATGCTTGTTGACGAATCTAGAAGCTTCGGGTCCGCCGTGGCCGTCGTAGACACCGATGTAAGTGGCGGAGGGGGAGGTGAAGACTTGGCTCTGATCTTCGAGACTGTAATTGGCTTGAGCGACGGCGATGGAGAAGTCGCCGGAGGCGTGAGGCTTCAAATCAGCGTGCCAGAGAAGACCGTCAGCACCGGCACCACGGCGTCGAAAGCAACAATCGAGAGGACGGTAGCACAAACGCAGCATGATCTATCTGAAGAAAACTTTATATTATATATTTGTGTGTGCGGTGTTTGGTTTGGTTTGGTTTGGTTTGGTTTGGTTTGTTGATTAGGTTAGGTATCTATCTATCTGCAGAATCACATCGAGAGAGAGAGAGAGAGAGAGAGAAATGAAAAAGCGTGAGTGGTGGATGGGATGGGGCGTTTAGGTGAAGAAGAAGAAGCTTGAATCAAAGTTTTGCTGCTTCTTTTTTGGTTGACGCGTATTAGTATAGAGTATAGTTATTATACTACTATAATACAATACTAATCTCTGCTGTGCTGTGAGCCTTTTTACCTTCCTTGTACTTCCCGCACTATATTACTTGTGTGTGTGTGGGTGAAAGTTAGAGAGACGATTACAATTCTTTTTTTCTCTTTTATTTTGTTTTTGTTCTTCCTCACACCCAAATCCAACAATTCATGTCTATCCTCATATTTATGGGTTTGATATTTTTTATTATAAAATTACTTTTTACACACGCGTAAAAAGTATAGGCTCATGATGGGTCATATAAAGAGAATGAAAAAAAAAAGATATGAATCCTATCTAATTTTATGTGTACATAAAAAATGATTTTATAGAAAGAAACACTCCTATTAAACAAATTGGATGTTTCTTGAGACGCTCCTTGACGCAATAAAAAAAAAATTATTAGGGGATGTTTGTCACGTAATTAAATGTAATCAAAATGAGAGAAATATGATTAAAATAAAGGTTTTAATATTTCTATAATGAATTGAATACAGTTAAATTATTTATATTCACTTCCAAAATATCATTGTTTTGAATTAAAAAATTATAATTTTTACCCAAAGAAAATTATTATAACTTTTGAATAAATTATAATTATAAAAAGAGATAAGATATTATTACTATTAATTAGTGTTACTATTAATGTCACTACCAGTTTATTTCAAAGTTAGATCGATTATGTTGATCCAACGGTTCTGATTTAACTTTCTAAAAACCTTTCTTTCTTTTCCTATATTTAATATTTTGTATTTATGTCAACCTTTGTATGGTTATGATTTTTCATATTTAATACTTTAATCATACAAAGGTGAAAATAAGTATAATCGTTGGATCAACATAGTTGATCTAATGGTGAAACAAATTGGTAATAACACTAATTAGTAGTAACAATATCTTATCTCTTAAAAAATATCTTAATTTTCATTCAAAACGATTTCATTTTGGAGCGCATTTTCAGAACCTCAGTGGTACTAAACTGGGTATTTTTTTTGTAATTTACACCTGTATTCTCGGGAATATATAATAGAAATTACAAAAAGTACTTTTTTTCTCGTTCTAATACAAAAAGCGATCAAGATGGCGTCTTTCCATTGGCTCTACACGGTAATATTATAGATTTTCTCCTCATTTTGGGTTCAATAAAAATGATTTATTTATATTTACTACAGAAAAAATAAACCCTAAAATAAAAAGATATAAAAGGTGTATTTTGGAAAAACTATTATGATAATTAAAATCAAAAGTAACCGCGTTGATAACAACCTAATTTCAATCATCTAAACGCGGATTTCTCGTCTCTTTCCCTCTCTATCTATGCCCGTCAATTTATGCCCTCATGCCTCGTTGGAAATAAACGTTGCTAACATGTGTCAATACTCCAATGCATTCAAACTTGTGAGGCTAAATGATAAGAAACTAGTGCACTTTTTTATTTCCCCATTTTAATTATATTTAATTATAAATTAATTATCAAAAGCGGTGGGATGGTGCTACATTTCATTTTAACTTTTTGTTTTAAAGAAAATGATATTTTTCATAAATAATTTGTTTATTTACATAATCAAGTTAATTCAACTTTACGACTACCAGGTGTCTGGTGAAACGAAGAAGACAATATATTTCCTCTGTTGAACATTTTAATTAAAATGAAGAAAGATGGAAAGTGCATTTTGAAAATACTATATGTATTGAATGCTATTTAATATTTATAAATGCAAGCTTTCTATTATTTAGCCCGCAAAACAAGTCTTACACACAAATTCGGAACTACATAGTTTTAATCAGTGTTGTTAAATTTGACTTGCACATCGACCCGGTCAGGCTACTGGATCGTTGGATCACTAGTCGAACTGGTGAGTCACTAGTCGGATCGGTTGACCTGGATATATATTGATATATAAAAACATATATAAATATGAACATATAAATTCAATTATATTTTTCATATCTAAAATAAATTAAACAAGATTTACTAAATAAGCTCAAAAACATGAAGCATAAATAAATAAAGAGTAAACACCCTTTTTAGTCCCTGGCAATATCTACGAAGTCTTTTTCAGTCCCTCGCAATAAAAAAGGACCAAATTGGTCACTGAAAGTACAAGAAAAGGCTCACTCTACATATTTGGGAGTTGACATAAGGACTAACATGGCCCTTTTTTTGTAATTTCAGGAACCAATTTGGTCCTTTTTTATTGTCAGGGACTAAAAAGGACTTCGTAGATATTGACAGAGACTAAAAAGGGTGTTTACTCATAAATAAAAGTACATGCTATTACTATGTCAATTTAAATTGCAACTCAGAATCCCCATAAACATATCTCTCAATGACATTGAACTCATATTTTTCAAATTCAACTACATTAAAAATTTAAAATGACATAGGTCACATTCTCTAATTCGTTATTCCAAAAATTGCTTTAGTATTGAAAACTAAGAGATCATTGTAGAAGAGTATACTAGCAAATAAAATTACAAAAAAATTTTAAAATGAGTTTTACATTCTTTTTATAAGATGAAACAATTTTGGTCTTTTTTTTTAAATGCATGCCCAACCGGGTCACTGGGTCGCCAGGGTCACCGGTTTGGCCGGTTTTGTCCGAATTTTGACCGGGTCGATGCATGACTGGTCCAATGCTTGTCCCAAACTGGTCTGATGACTGATTTACCGAATTATAGGTCGACCCGATCGGGTCAGACCGGGTTTTACAACAGTGGTTTTAATTCACTAGAGAATAGAGATTGATGTCTTTTTAGATAAATAATTACCAAAATGTTAAAAAAGCATGCAAAGTAGAAAAGAAAATGGAGAGGGGGAATTGAAGAGGTCAATTGGTGAATTTTGAGGAAAAAAATAACATTTATTTTAGTTGAATGGGATCATAAATTGACATATATAGGATATAGATTTAGAGAGTTTAAAATGGTTGCTTATTATTGTAGTTGTTGCTTTTAATTACTTTTCCTATAATGATTTTCTCAAAATGCTTACATTTTCTCTCATCTTAATTATATGATTCTCATTTTAATTACCTTTAATTATTAAGATAGTGAATGATAAGTTTTCCACGTCACTAAACCACATATATTTTTCAGTATTTGACCACTTTATTCAATTTGCCAATACTTTCCCGTGGGTTGCATTACTGATTAGAAAGTAGATTTATTCCGTCGCCAAGTTGGACACAGAAACAAATTGTTTCTTATTTTGTTACAAAATTCACCGAGTGTAGGTGCGGTGTTAATTGATTTATAATTCTTTTATTTTATTTACATTTTAACCTACCCTCGTGTTTTCACTTTTTACATTCTTGCTATTGTGTTGGAAGAAAAAAGAAGAAAAAATAAATATTAGACAGGGTGCTAATTTTTTTTTAATGCAACTATTATTAATTTTAGTGTTTGCATGATAATAATTCTGTTTTTTGGTAATATTTTGAAAATTTGTGTAAAAAAATATATTTGAAAACACAATTTATTTTTATACTAAAAGAGTGAGTCTGTATTTAATAAATAATATTTTTAACATATAGTATGAATTTCATTTGATAAATAATGTATAATAAATTGCCGCTCATTTCTGGCAATTTGTGTTACAGGCTACCATTCATTTTTAGAAACATAAAAATAAAATAATTTTATCAAATGTTATTTCTAACTATTTTTTCCCAAATTAAAAAAATAAATCTGAAAATATTATGATACATGCTCTTAAAGTTAAAGAAAAAATTTGCAATAATTGAGCATTTGAAAAAATTGGTTCGGATGCTGTGTCTGTGTTTGTGTAATTAGTATAACCCATTAGAATGTTGGCGTTTGCCGCCATTAATTATTTAATGGACACAACACGGTTGACTCGTGGATTTTCTTCAATTTGTTATCTTTTGTCCTTCACGCGGAATCAAAACTTGCGTGTGTAGTGGAAACTTAGAAATGCAACGCCGCGTTGAATAAAACACCTGAATTCTCTAATCCATGACTCCTGGCGGTTATGTTTAGAATTCACTCTCTTTTAGAATTATAACATTAATACATTGTGCTGAATGGAATCACATAAATTATAATTATTACATAATAAATTATATATATATATTTTTTTGGTAAGCTAAATTATATATTTTTTTAAAATGATATAATATTGCACATTTCTTCTATTTATTATTAATATGTTTAAGAAAAATCTTACTAAGCTCGAAATGATGCAAAACATACAAAACAACCCCGCGTTGAATAAAATGTCTAAATTCTATAATCCCATTCCATGATCCCTGGTGATTTATATTTAGAATTCACTCTCTTTTTAAATAATTAAATTAATAACTTTGCGAGGTATAAATGTATTTATGATAAATAAAATATGATTTATGTATTATAAATAAAAGATTCTTATAATTACATGTTTCGTCTATTTATATTGACATGTTTTTTTTAAAAAATTCAGTAGATTATAAAAAATTAAAATTATATATATATATATATAGGCAGGATCATTTGACACCAGTGTCAAATTTCATCTTAGAGCCATTAGATCAGAAAAGATCAACGACTCTGATTTATAAACATTTGACACCATTGATTTTTTTTTATCTAATGACTCTCAGATAAGGTGTCAAAGGATCCTACCTCATATATATATATATATATATATATATATATATATATATATAGGGAATGATCCGTTTACAAATTTTTTTTATAAATTTTTATAAATTACACTATGCACTCCCGAACATAGTGTTCTTTTGGGAAAACATAATGTAGTTTGTAAGAATTTGTAAACAAAAAGATTGTAAATATAACACTGCTCTATATATACATATATATTATTCTCCGATCTCTTTTCCCTTTTTATTCAAAATTTCGGGACTTCATTTGAAATAAACACACACAAAACTAATATTATTATTAATATTAGTTGACGTTTAATGTTAGTATCAATTAAATGTGTTCGTTAGTTTTTTAAATTACTCTATAAAGTAGCAAAAATGGTTAATTGTTATAAGTAGTTGATGCCAAGTGGCTTTGAACACGGGCAATAGTCCCCCGGTGGGACAAGTAGTTGTTTTTGCAAATGTTTGCGCACTCAGCACGGCATGATGAGTCTCTTCCGCGTATTGTAATTTCATTTGAGTCCTAGTTCTCTAGCGTTTAAAATCAAATGCAGAGAGCCTTCATCCTTACAAAAAAATAAAAATATTACATGAAATAATAAAAAAGATATATGTTGTAAAAGAATACGTGTATTGGATATCAACTGCATCATAAGAGTGAACTTTTAATATCTGTGATACGTGATATTAATTTTTTTATTCCCTTATTAAAATTAAATATATGTGGGTTTACGTGATATTAAAATAAACAAGTTGTAGTTTACCCAGAAAAATAAAAAAAAATAAACATGTTGTATTTACCAAAATAATGAACAAGTTGTGAATAGATGTACTTAAGTGAGTCATACTTCTTAGTTTTAGTATACGTGGATGATTATATTTATCACCTCATATTATTATTTTTGTAACTGTTAGAATGTGGCAAAGAATATGATGGAAAGAGGAAGATGAAAGAAGTGGAGGAAGTGCTCCAAGAGAGAAAATAAATTTGTATCAAATGATAATTGTTGATTTGATTTTGTCTGACAATTTTAAAAGAGATAGTAAGAGATAATAAATTCAATTGATGACAACCGATATACATTCTACACCGAATGCTTAGTATTACAAGAATGCTAAAAATTTATCCATCCGTAGGATCCTTTCAATTTGCTATAAAATAAGAGGCAAAACATATTTTTTTTATTTGATTGGTCAAATTAGGACAGTACTTGACAAGATAATAATTTAGAATAATCTTTTTATTCACTAAATCAAGTTATAAAATATTATCCGTAATAGAGAAAAAGACCAATAACATTGGCTCTTAATTATCTTAATTTTATTGCTCGTTAAACAACATCAAACACAAAAATATTAGAATAAATTTTCCTTTATTCTGTCGATTAATATCACAAGTTTTATAATTCATTGCAATAATCATCATCGAGTAGCTAACAACACAATTATCATGTGAGTCAACTACTCAGGCTGTCCTATTTTATTTTTTATTTTTGAAAGACTCAGGCTGTCCTATTTTATTAAAATTATCGTGTGACACAATTACTTGGGCTTTCCTATTCGATTTGTCCTGCCCTTCAATATCCCCGGAACGCAACAGTAATCTCTTTTTAAAGTCCGAGTGACGCTTTCCGTTGCATTTACAGCACAATGGAAAGCCTTCCTGTGTTGCATATAGTATATACAAAGCATATACACACAAAATTAATAAAACCTAAACATCATTAATTATTTTTAAATAATTGTTATGTACATCAATATATACAAATTATTAATATAGTGTTGATGGCATTTATCAGCTGATGTCACTACTTCCCGAAAATAAGGAGAAAATAAAGAAAGCTACACTTGCCGAGAATTATCCAAGAGAAGGCTTTCCTAACCACCACGCCACCTTCTTTTTCCACTAAAATTTAAGTGTTATAGACTTTCTTATCGATTATTTTAAGTCCAATTCGAGCCGAATAGAATCATATAAACGACAAAACTCTTCCTATTAAATTTTAACACAATTGCATTAAACAATTCCTTATCAACTTATCCACATTTTAGGACACGTTTAATTCATTGTACTAAGTATAATTAGATAAATTAATATTATATATTATGATTCTATTATTATTTGAAACGGAGATATTATTATTACTATTACTAAGCATGATTTTATTTTATAATTAAACAATTCAATATAATCATATAAATGGCAAAACTCTCCATATTAAATTTTTGACACAACTGCATTCAACAATTCCTTATCAGCTGATCCACATTTTAGGACACGTTTAATTCGTTGTCCTAAGTATGATTAGATAAATTAATATTATATATTATGATTCTATTATTATTTGAAACGGAGATATTATTATTACTATTACTAAGCATGATTTTATTTTATAATTAAACAATTCTACAAAAAGCCAACTCCATCACAGCATTCTCATGATCCTATCATACAACCACAGAATAAAAGAAAATCAATCTAGAAACTACTCGGCCTCATTTTGTGGTAAGTGACTATTTACAACTATACATCTTCGACAATATGGACAGTCTCCACAACAGCGAATCCAAGGATCCAAACAAGCAGAGTGAAATTTATGTCCACATGGCAAACGTATCAGCTCATCTCCATCCGTGAAAGATTCCAAGCATATCCCACAATCCTGAAGTACCCTGGACTCCAATTCTGTCTCCCTGCTGCTGAAAACTTCCAGATGTAAACAGTTTAGGGCCTCCTGAGTGAGTCCAGGTGGCTTTAGTTCTTGCAAAAGCTGGGACCTTCCCATTTGAGAAGTCAAGTCAGTAACTAGAGAGCCCCGAGTTGGAAATTCACTTTCCGGATCCTCACCCATTGAACCTCTACCATATTGCCTGAGGAAAAAAATAATAAAAAACTCCAAATTAAATCAAAGGGCAATGGAGTTAATGATCATAAAATAATTCAGAGGAAAATTCAATCTCAGATTCTAAGTGGAATTATTTTCAACGATAATAAAGGATGCAGAAACAACTTAGACTACGACCATCAATTTGTGCAAGTATTACAATACACCAAACCATTAAAGAAGATCAAAATCTGATTATTAGAAGCCAGAGCAGCATCGCCTTGAGGAGAAGACAAGTTCTATATAAAACAAGTATTAGCTATGCGAAACTCAACAAAATAAGTACAGAAAACACCAAATATTAGAAAAGACAACTAATAGCATGTTATATATATATATATATATATATATATATATATATATCATATGAATGGGAAAACATACCATAAATTAAGTCACTTCAGAGAAATTTGAATCAAGAAAGTATGCACAGATAGTCATCAATCAATACATTGACCCAAAAAAGTAGTCTCGATATGTTCTAAATATTATAGCAAATGAGATAAAGATATTTGTAAGAAGACATATACACATAGTGAAGTGAAACAAAGACAAAAAGCCCAAATATCCAAGTGCAAGGAAATATATTAATCTATGTTTAAGTGGTCGTCTATAGTACATTGGACTAACACACGAGATCATGAAAGAATTATCATATTCATAGCATAGCCATGCTTATCAAAAGTTTGGATAATTAATAATCTCCTTATAAAGGATTTAAAAAAGTCACCAATCAATATTAGATAATCAGATTATGTATTTCACAGAAATGGGCATTTCAGCATAGAATTTACTATGATCTTAGTAACACAATGATAAAAGAATTCAATTAACTTAGGACAAGTTATACAGGTAAGATCATGATTAAGAACAAAGGACACAAAATACTATGATGTCATTTCCAGCTGAAACTCACCTAAAATACCCACGATAATATTTAATCTAGTAGTAGCAGACTATCGGTTTTATAAATATAGCAATATTATAAATCAACACAAAAGTCAATTAAATGTCCCTGAATATCTCATGCATTGTTAAGCAAATGGAAAAACTTGAATATTGAGTTGAAAGGAAACCTGTTTCTAGAGACAGGGTCCCCTCTCAACCTCTGAAAGAGTCTTGCCCGTGCAAGTACCACACCTACGGGTAGTCTATCACTGGCACTCGCTCTAAAACCCCTTATGCCTCTTACGTTCTCTGCAGAATCAACACTATCATTCAAGAGTGACCGGCGATGTCTCCCATCAATTCTATCTGATGCACGCTCCTATCAAACACAAAATTTAAATGATCATAAAAATAATAATGAGAACCTCAACACAATAATATCAATAATTAGTTTGTAATAACTTATAAATATCATGAATACAAATATTCAGAAAATTTAAGGGTTTCAATTACAACATTTCATCGCTACAAAAAAAGAAATATACTTAAAGGCAAATCGGATCGCAGAAAGAAAGATGTTCGGAAAATAGGAATAGTACCGGGTGACGGAGGCGGCGCAGATGGTAGTAGCGGCGGAGAGAATCACCGGCGTCGAGGTCGTGGAGGCGATGATGGTGGAGATCTGAAGCGGAAGATGAGTCGAACCCTAGATCGAGAGCATTTCGTCCCAATCGATGCCTCCTGATGTGGAATAGCTCCGAAGCGCTCGTCATACACCGCCAAACACGATTCGCTGTTCCTTTCAGCGCTTAAACGAATGATGTAATGAAAGATGAAGAGTTTGAATTGAGATTCGAAATAGAACGGAAAAGCAAAATAAGTCAACAGCAAGTTCGATGAAGAAACCAGACAGTAACTGCGATTCTTCCCCAATCCAATACCTTCCCTTCCCTTTGCGAGGAAGTTAGAAGAGTACAGAAAATGAGAAAACTATATAATATAAAATTATCGATTAAAATCAGGAAAATAATAATAATAAAAATAATACATTAGGTTTATGGAAGTTTGGTGGCCATTGGATTCGGTAAGGGGCATTTACTCATATGAACAAATTCGGAAGCTGAACCGTCAAATATTGCTAATGGTTTGGTGCGATCGCGAAAATCGAAATGAAAGGGTGAGGTTGAGGTTCCCGATTGACAATACCAGCGATCGGAGCCATTCATCTCGGGAAGTTAATTAATTATGATCGTGATCATATAAGTGGCCTTTGAAACAAAGTAAGGCATTTTTAATGTATATGAAATTAAGAGGATTATATTTACAAATATTTTTTTTTATAAATTCTTATAAATTATATTTTGTACTCTTAGAAATATATTAGGTTAAGCTATGTATTTCTAGAAATATATAGTATAATTTATAAAAATTTATAAAAAAATTTATAAACAGATTTTTTACTATAAAATATGCTAGTGTTTAGTGTCTTTATCTTGAAATTAAGCAAATGGATACTTTCGTGTGAAAAAATAAAATAAAATAAAAGAGATGATTGTGTAAAAAATTATAATTATATAAAATAGATCAATAATAATAAAAAAAGAAAAAATATTAAAATATATAATTATAAAATTATAATTGTTGCTTCATCCTTGTATGATTGTGACCCTATTATGTTTTTTTTTTCTCAGATGAGATAATCTATTATCTGAAATCAATAGTGAAACAAAAACAATTGTCAATATTCTTAGAGATTTTTTTAATTAATAATTTTTTAAAAATACATTCATTTTTCAAAAAAACAAAAAGACACAAAATTCAATTATTCAAATCTATATATTAATTTTTTTATTCAATTAACATACGTATAAATATCTAAACATAAGTTACTAACTAACAATAAAAACATCACCATATATACATTGACGCTCAACTTATTAAATTGATATGTGAATGTAAATATATTCTAATAAAGGATTATATTTATAAATTTTTTGTTTACAAATTGTTGCAAATTATCCAAGAGTTTTATAAATATGATGTAATTTGTAAGAGTTTATAAACGAAAAATTTATAAATATAACATTTCCCTATATTGTAACTATTAAACTTGGTAACATGTTCTAAACCATCATAATAAGATCTAGCCGTATCCGAGCTTCTTTTTTTTTAAAGAAAAGCAGCGGGGTCCATTTTTTTGTGTCAGCTGCAGATAGCAGTTCTCTGCAGCCGCTGTAGAAAAACTGTCTCCTTTTTTCTTATTACCGACTTTGTTATCATTAGATCAAAATCAAATCGACGGTTCTGACTTGATGTTATTTTGTAACCACTGATTTGATTTTGATTTAACGATAACAAAGTTAGTAGTAAGAAGTAGTAAGGAAAAATTATAGTAAGTATAATCTTTCTCATCTATTAATTAATTATTAATTTCAAATAAACTACAACCGTCAAATGAATGAGAATCAACAACTGAGATTGGAAATGAGATTTCTTAATCTCAGACCAAGTCAAATTTCCATCCATTAGACATTTATAATTTATTGAGTTATATCTATTAATTAATTTCAAATAAACTACAACCATCAAATGAGCCGAAATCAAAGGCTGAGATGATGAATAAGATTTTTTAATCTTACACCGGAGTCAAAAGATTATCCCTCACACTTTTATGTGTTATTTGATATGATTATATCATGTGAGATTATTTTAATTATTCATAAGCAAATAAATGATAATAAAAGACGAGAGAGATAATAAAATATTAAGATATGGGGTGATAAAATCTGAAATGATTTACTCCTAGCATTCATAAAAGCCTAGTATATTCTTCGGGCTTAAAATGTTGAGCCCAACATATTAAAAAAATTACTTATTTTAGAAGTCTTTTTTACAAAAGATAAATTTATTTAAATTTAAAAAAAAAATTTACTTTTTCTTTTTTTATAAGTTAAAATTTTTACCTTAAAAAAAAAAGTAAGTTTTAACTTTTTTTTATGACTTGTACTTTTTTAAAAACAGACATTCAAACAAATTTTTTTATAAGTGCTTTTGTTTAATAAAAGTAACTTTGGAGAGAGAAAAGCCCTAACATGTTACCTCCGAATGTTGGTCCCTTTTTGTAATTGCGGTTAACTATTTTCTACGATGCATCGATACTGACACGGGACACGACACGACATGACACGCCAACACGTTAATTTTAAAAATGTCATATTTCGACACGTTGTGACACATTTTGATATTAAATAATATTTTTAATATATATAATATAATTTATATTTAATACATATAATAGCCTATAATAAGTCATATAACAATTAAATATTCAAATTTCATAACATAAATATAAACAAAAATAATTTTTCGTAACTTGTTAATTTTTCATGTAAATTTCATAACAGAAAAAAAATTGATTTATAAATTATTTTTTATTTTTAGTTAATAAAATAAAATTAAGAAGTAAAAAAAAAAATACATCGACTGTGTGTCGGACCGTTGACTGCGTGTCGAAAAAAGATGTCAAAGCATTGACCGTGTGCTCCAAAATGTTAACCACGTGTTGGAGCGTGTCGATGTTCGACACGCACATTTTTAAAAAAAAAAAAAAAAAAACAAATCCGTGCTTTGTTGACTATTTCCTGCCAACCAACTTGGAGTTTATATAGTGAATTAGTGGTAAATGTTAATGAAAAGGATATGTGAAACTCTCTTTTCTTTCTTATTTTGTCTCTACTCTCCTATTTTCTTCTTTCCCTTTTCTCTTCTTCTTCAATTCTCTCTCCTGCTGTAGCAATTGTCTTCTCCAAATTATACTGCTACATGAGCATTGTAACCTCAAATTATATCACCTCGTAAATTCTTGGAACGAAAATGATTGTGTACACGGGCACAGATGCGCCATTAAGATGACAGGGCAACAAGTTAATCATCTATTTTCATACTGAAGTTGGGCCTCACAATGATCTCTCATTTTTTTAAGCCACAGTGCAATAAAGATAGCAGGTTGTTATCAACTGTCAAATAACACTGGAATTTGAATAAACATTTGCGTTTGGCATAAATGCTTTCATGATTAAAAAGAATTCTTCTGCCAGACATATTACCGATCAATCACCTTATGTAATGGTGGAACAAAAGGTTCATGCACCAAATAAATGGTGATAGCTCAGTTGATGTATGGAAGAGAGTAGGTGAAGGATAATAATATTTATTTGATCCTTCTCAATATCAACTTTAAAAGAGATTTAAATTTTTAATTTTTAATCCGCTCTGAATTAGACTGGCCGCGAAACGATGAATAAATTAGAATATTAAAAAAAAAAAAAAAAAGTTAATGCTGCTCCACTAACCTGGCTTTCATATTATTCCTTCAAAGGAAAACTTGAAAGATATTATCCAACTTATTTATAATAGAACCCAAAATTTAATGGTGTAAATTATAACCTCATCTGGATGCGACGATCCTTTCTTAATTGATATTGACTCCTTTCTCAGATGCTTAAGACTTTGTGGAATGTATTCAGCAACCGTACCAATAGCAACAGAGAGAAGCTAATTAATAAAGAGACCGAGCAAGCTAAATAAACTTGCTGTGATTCAAAGTACATATAATCATTATCTTATTGCCTTCAAAATTTGGAGGCGAGGGGTGAAGGTCAAAGATTTTATCAAATGTGTTTTTTCTATGATTGAACTTTTCAGGAGAATTCTTTTTATTACTAACGAGAAATCAAATTGTGTATGATAAATTTTTTTATTTTTTATTTTTAATAGATGGTAGGGTCTACTATATCTTATGTTTATAGTATGAGAAAGAATTCTTCTAGTACATGAGAAAAAAGGGACCCTAAATTTAAATAGGAATTTTTTTGAAAATACTATTTGATTTTCTTTAGAATTACTTACTACTCTATGGTTATTATTTTTATCATTAATTTTCCTATGATTTTTTTCATCCAATCCACCTTTTAATTTTATTTAAAATTAAATTAGACGGCTGTCCATTTTAGCCTTGTAAAATGAATCATCATGGAGATAAGAATTTTATATTGTAATGTTATTTTTTTTTATCCAACTTTAATTGTTTTCTAAAATTTATACCAAAATGTCAAAAAGCTTTTTATCCTACTGATGTTGAGAGAAAAATTATAATGAAAACTGTAATTTAGCAACTAATTTCGATCTTCGAATAAGATAATATTCACAACATTGTTAGTAAGAATAAACACTTAACATAGAATTATTACTCTTCTTTTTACAAATTTATATATCTTTAATAAAACTGATTTGATTTGAATTTGATAAATATATTAATATCTTAAATTTAATAAATAAAATTAAAAATTATTTAAGTAATCAATTTAAATGTAAATATATTTTTATTCTGGGTTCAAAAATTAAAATAAAAAAGTATGTGAGCCAAAAAAAAAAGTAACAGAGAAAATAAAAAATATTGAAAAAACTACTAATATATTAAAGAATAAATTGGTCTGTTGATTAATAGTACTTACCAACATTATATTCAAAGTTATGAGCAAATACGTACAGATGAGAAACAGATTTACCACGAAAAAAAGGATAATCTAGAAAAATTCAAATAAATGAATAGACAGTTTAGTTAAAATAAAAAGAGTTCAATTCAAATTAAATTCTACATATTATAATTGAATTAAGAGTTTGAACATGTAAAATATGTTTGATTACTTGCCTTAGTATTATAATAAGTTAATAATATGTGATTTACTGTGAAGTTGGATTAAAAAAAGCACTTCACTATAAAATTTTCATCTCAAGAAGTAGAGAAAGGTGAGTAGGAACACACTAAGAGCCTGTTTGGATCATCTTATTTTTAAGCTAGAAGCTACTTATAAGATAAAGCGAAAATAAAGAGCTTAAAAAAAGAAGCTAAAAGCTGTTTGGAAATTACAAAAAAATTTACTTAAAAGCACATATTTCAAGAAAATTGTCTCTTTTTCTATCTTTATCACTCTTCATTTAAAAAAAAGCACACAATTCAAGAAAAACAGATAAGAGCTTAAAAAAAAGCTCCTCCTAGGAACTTTTAATTTTCAGCTTTTTCTTCATTATAAAAAAAATAGCTTTTCGTTATAAGAGCTTTTTCCAAAACCTGTTTGGCCTAGCTTATGCTTATAAGTAGCTTCTAGCTTAAAAATAAGAGGATCCAGACAAGCACTAATAGATAGTCTCATAATGATTTTTTTTACAATATCAAAATGGATAGTCTAATTTAATTTCTAACCCTGTTAGAAGATGTACTAGTTGTAAAAAATTATAGGGACGTAAATGACAAAATAAATAAATAAATAATTATATAAGGGAACAAGTGATTATAAGAGAAACTGGGATTTTGAACTTTTCCCATTTAAATAATCACTTTTAACCACAAATACCATTGGGTACATATAATCATTATTTATGCTTATGTAGTCACAATGACTACTTTTGCCACAGAATTGGCGTTATTTAACTATTGATACCCATTAATGGGAATGTTGTTATCTGCCAAAAGTTCTGTGATGGGATTGTCCACACCATCGTCAACATTTCTGAACCAGTGAGTTTGACTGAAACGAGCTGCACCGTCTGGAACATCATCCAACACCCTCTCACGGCCTTTAGGGAAGTAAATTCCTGTGCGTGGGTGTGGAACCCAACATGCTGAATCCTCTATCTTCCCACCACTCTTTGAAACTCCTCTCGAGCTTTCTGCAGCAGGTTCAGGTTGAGTAGTGCCTGAGGACTTGCTAAGCAGACTCTTTGTTCGCTTACCTCCCCTGCATGACCTTGACATTTCGTTTGTTAAATGTTATGTTTTGCTCTTTGAATTTTGAACACAATGAAAAAACTGAAAAGGGCATTGGCTATAAAAAGATTTCTTGGTAATCAATTACCATTCATACAATCTCTTATTTAAATGGACAAACGAATCATGGGAAATAAATAAATGATTTAAAACAAGCTAACGAGAAATGAAACAGGACCCGCCCCGAATCGGACTAATCGCGAAGCGATGAATCGAATGAATATTTCCAAAAAAAAAAGAAATGAAACAGGACCCCTTTGGTGCACCCTATGCAGAATTCGAAGTGACAAGAACTTTCTTATGCCTTTGAATTGATCATAAAGAGACTTATTAATGATAATTTACCGGAGAAGCAACATGTTTGCTTTGGTGATGCTGCCTCTAGCCATGAGCTTCAATAAGCAGAATCAATCAATCAGGTTGGTAATATGTGAACTAATGCACTAATGTCTCAATACACCAGATGTTTTCACTTTTCAAAGTCTCAGGACCATGATGGGTATTTATATTAGTCTAGTGCTGCAAGAAAGAAAAGGATCAGATAGAGTAAGTTCTGTTGCACGTGTGAAGCACAAAACCTGATAGAGAGGGTTGTGTTTTGGAAAATCAGTATGTGGTTTAAAACCGTGATTCTGATATACTTTTAAAAGTTCTAAAATCATTATGTGGAAGTTTTATTTCTGTTAATTGATCTTCTAACTAAAGGACAATAACGCTTACTGTTATTGTAGGTTATTCAATTTGGGTCATTCCTATTGTTGAGTTTAATCAGTTGTGGAAGTATCCGTCCCCGTCGATAGGAATAAAAAAAGAGATAGGATATTCTTACTATCAAATATCTTTATTACCAATCTATTATCATTTTGATATAATTATGTATCGTGGATAGTATTAAAAGTTATTTTTTTTATCTTTCTTCAAAAGCTTTGCAAGAGATTGTCGGCTGAAAAGTAGGTTAGTAGATTGATAATAGAACATTTGGTAATAAAAATATCATATTTCTAAATAAAATATAGGTTCAATGTTTCTGCTTTTTTTATAGATTTTTTTGTCCCGCCACACTAACATGAAAGTGAGTGAGTCTCGTTATGGCAGAGAAATTTTTTCTGCAGTAAAAAAACAAAAATAATTTCCCCATAATTTTTTTTTTCTCTTTTTTGTGCAAATAATTTATGATTTAATGTTTCCTAAATCATAAAAGTATATAATTTATCTCTCATATTTATATAAAAGTATATAAAGTGCATAGGGAGCCGTGTGAGAAAAAGCGAGAAAGAAAGTACGCTTGTTACTAAATTTCTATAGAATTACACTAATTTTTTATTTGCAAATTATGCTTGTTTTATGTCTCATATTTGTGACATTTATTTCATCAATGAAACATCACATGAGTAAATATTAATAAATATATATATATATATATATATATATATATATATATATAGATAGGGTGTGTAATAATTAAGTTCTAGAAACATAATTTTTTAGAAAATAATCTTTTGATTTCAGTGTAGAAATAAGAAATTTTACTCTTCATCTCAATTGTTTAGTTTCTTAACGATTGTAATTTGTTGAATTATATCCATTAATTAATTATTAATTTATAATAAATTACAATAATTAGATGTATGAAAAATATTGATTAAAATAAGAAAACAAACTTCTTATTTATACCTGGAGTCAAAATATATGTACACTACTAAGTAAGGTCGATTGCTAATTTTGACTAGTTGCATATGGTCATAATTTTTTTTGCCTAGTTTATCAGTATAATAAACTTATATTTCATCCTTCCAACTGAATATGTTATTTTTCTGCCAACGAATGATTCACTTATTTGATTAATTTTTTGTTTTTGCAAAGTGAGAACACGCGTTCAATTTTAAGATAAACTATTAATAGACAATTTTTAATTTTATATTTTTCTGAATCAATGTTTTTTCCCCTCATTTGAAGTGATGATGTAAACTTTCGAAATAAAAAAATAAAATAAAAAGATGTTAATCAAATATTAAGTATTAGTTTTTTTTTTTTCACAGAGAAAAAAAAAATAAGAATAAAATAGGGATTGAGATGTCTATAATATAATCCACTAGTTTTAGGATTCAAAAAAATAATTTAATGTGCCAAATGTCAGATGACTATGTAAGTAAGGCGTTTAGATTGAAACCTCTCATCCTATTGGAATTGGAATTGGAACAGATAAAGAAAGAACTCCCGCCATTGTTGCGTTGGATGACATGTTTTATAGAAACAGAGACAGACACGCAACCAAAAACTGAAAGCCAAAATCTTTTTTCTTCACTGCCCAAATTCCCCATTATACTCCAATCGCTTGTTTCAGAATCGTCCGAGGAGAAATAGCAGAGATAAAACAAATAAAAACAAAAAGGAAAAAAAGCTTGCATTTTTATCTTTTTTTTTTTTAACGAGGAACAATGAAAGGCAAAGGGAAAAAGTACTCCAAACTGAAGTTGGGTTTACCTGTTTTGTTTCTCCTTTGCACCCTTTTCTTCTTTGCTGGGCTTTTTGTGTCTCCTCTCCTCTTTCAGGTCCCTGATTCAAAGTTGGTGAGTGCTTGTACTTGATCATTGATGGAGCTCATTATTCATTAGCAATGATTGCAGGATTTGGTTGATGTTGGACCACGGCCCAGAATACGTCATGATTCGTTGAAGAAAGAATATGACCCTCTTGAGCATGGTAAATCTGGGGAATCCTTTGTTGAAACTATCCCATTTCAGGTGATCTCTCTCTCTCTCTTCTTTTTATTTGCTATGGGCTTGGATCAATGGGTTTTGCTTGGGTAGTAAGTCTGATATTCTTTGTCTTACGATTCAATTGTAGTCATAATTGCTTGGACTAAGGTATTGATAATCAATGCTTACTTTGGTTTGATGTGAATGTTTAACTCATGGTTTGATGCATGGTATTTCATAATTAACTTTTTTTTTTTTTTTTAAATAAATAAACTTTGGTCATTAATAATTAATAATTCTGGTTAGTCATCAGCATCCTTAGTTTTTAGATTGTCCTGCATTGGTGATATCACTAACTGCAACTCATCAGTGGGAGGACTGGGATCACATATTATGCACTTCTTGAAGGTTGAGTAATCAATTGTTTTTTACCTCTAATGAAGAAACGAAGATGTGTTCATTGTTGTCCAAAATGGGATCATTATATGAGTTTGCAAATGTGAAGATATACTGTGTTGGGAGTTCAAGTGTGAGTGGTAAAGTTTCACATTGGTTATGAATAGATTAAATGAAGGCGATAACAGGACATCTGTAGAAGAACCCATGAACTCAATGTCTTTAGATTTTGAAGTGAGATATGGCGTCGAGTCCATTTATGATGGTGAATTGTCATTTAGTCCATTGATGTTAGTTGGTATGCTGGAATTTTGGTGTATTGGTCAGAGACTTAGAGTAACGTGCTAGAATCTTCACCTAGCGGTCTTTTTATGTGAATCCAACTTGGGATAGGATTGTCTTCTATGCTTTCTTAAGCAATTTTTGCACATGATTTTTTTAAAGGGGATTCCTTGGTGCACATGTGCTGGTGTTTCATTTTTCTTGTTAAGCTGCTGTTAGGAGGGTTGGTGGTTCTCCTGTTCTATTTTTATCTTCTTTTTCAATAGGTCTTCTTTTTCATTAACTTTTCCAGTGCGGTGGAATATGAAGACATTTAATGGATAATTGATTAATCTATTCGTGTACCACTGATTTAAAAATGGTTAGCATCTGCTGTTGAAATGAAGACTCTAAATAAAACTGTGTTACTATTCATTATTGCCCTTTAATTTCTTTCAGTCCGACCCCTTTCTTTTATGCAGATTTTAAGTTGGAGACCACGGGCGCTTTACTTTCCAAACTTCACAAGTGCGGAAGTATGTGAACAAATAATTAAAATGGCAAAGCCCAAACTTGAACCATCAAAATTAGCTTTGCGGGAAGGAGAAACTGCTGAAAGCACAAAAGGCACTAGAACAAGGTACTATCACGAGCCAGGCCTCTTGTGTAACATACTGTGCTATCTTATGAAAGGCCTCTTTTCTATCATCTTGGCTACGGATCTAATGTTATCTATCATACTCCTGTTGTGTAGCTTTTTGGACCACTTGACAGTAAGAAAAAAAGATAGATTATGGTGTCACATGATGGGCTTTACCTCACATTTTTATTAATTGGATCAGTTCTGATTTTGAAAGATAATGGATAATTGCATATGTTAGGGCTGATAGTCATTGAAGATGATCGAGAGACATTTGTGTTGCTGCTGTATGTAAAGTTCAATGCTAATTTTTAGCTGGCAACAGTACAGGCGCATTCATCCGTGCATCAGAAGACAAATCTGGCATCTTAGACTTCATTGAGCAGAAAATTGCTAAGGTTACAATGATTCCAAAGACCTATGGAGAAGTATGTCTCTTTTTTAATCATCTTTCATTAAACTTCCATGGCAATGTAACTGTTCATGTATGAGTAAAGCGAGCATGCTGTTACTATTTTGCAGGAATTCAATATATTGAGGTATGACGTTGGCCAGAAATATGATTCTCATTATGATGCATTCAACTCAGCTGAATATGGCACCGTTGAGAGCCAAAGGGTATTTAACGAGTACAACTTGTCAAACAATCTCCTCCATTTTTTTTTTTTAATCACAGAAATCATTTGCTTCTCTCCTTTTTTTCTTGGGGTATTATTGGTGACATTGGAGTGATAATTATTTGAGCTAGTCTTGATATATGCTGTCCTTCACAGATCTTGGATTCTATTAGATTTGCTTTAGTTAAAAAAATAAGCACCTAATAACCTAGCTGCCATGCAGGGAAAAAGAAAGATTATGAGACGAAGAAATTCTAATGTCAGCTCAAGTATAACAGTTCTTGGCTCTGATTTCAAGATAGATTGATCATTGTACAACTGGTCCTCCATGTTTCTATGATATTGATTTTATTGCAAATGAACTCGGAATAGACAGGAGTTGCTAAGCATTTAAAAAGAAAACTGAATGAACAAAAATAGGAATATGCAAGTAGCATATTTTAATAAATTGATAATGTCATTTCAACAATTCCTATACTGGCTAGATTATGTTATACATTATCTAGGTGTTTTGATTATCCAATTTTATTTGTTCTGACAAAAGTTTGTCCTTCTCATTGACCTCAAGCACCAGCTACACAGAGGCACTTGCCAGCTTTGAGGGTTTTCCTCTATTTTTTCCTTTTAAAGTAGCCTAATCTATGTACCAAAAGAAAGTAGCCTAATATTGTCATTATAGTAATCCCTTCACACACTTCATATCAGTTTCATTCTAGTGCTTACTTACATTGGCTTTGCATATATTTAATGTTTACAAAAAATACCTTGGAGAAATTTTATACATCTCTGTATGATGAGTTTTCATTCAACATGGTTAAGATTTGCCACCAATTTGTGGAACTTGCGTGGTAGCTTAGTCTTGATGTTTCCTTCTTTTGTGAATGTGTCTTGCTGGTTTGTTTATAGATCTCTTATGACATCGATTCCACATGTTCATGCTTAATTGTGCAGATTGCTTCCTTCTTGTTATACCTATCAAATGTAGAAGCAGGTGGAGAAACAATGTTCCCTTATGAGGTAGACTAGAGAATTTACTGTCATCTGTCTGACACTTTACATCGTGAATCTTGATGTGTTAGTAGTCATTCAAGTATTCCAATTTGCAGGGTGGTTTGAATATGGATGCAGGTTATGATTACCAAAAATGCATTGGTTTGAAGGTGAAGCCCCGGCAAGGGGATGGAATTTTGTTTTATTCAGTTTTTCCAAATGGGAAAATTGATAAGGTAATCTTTAATTTTCAGATGACCATATGTGAATATAATTGCTGTTCCTTTTGTATAACGCATGGACAGAGAAATTTTCATTTAAGCAAAAGAAAAGGGAAATAAAATACGTGCAAAAACTTTGAAATGTATTGTTCAGAACATTGTGGCAAAGGAGAAATTCCTGGAACAGATGTTATTTTGTTTGTTTCCTCATTGTCAGTTTATGAATATTTCTGCAGACTTCTCTCCATGGAAGTTGTCCAGTGATTACGGGGGAGAAATGGGTCGCAACAAAGTGGATTAATGATCATAAGCAATACTACTAGTTTTCTTACTGAGGCATTTCCGATGTCATCATATTCATCATTGTGCATATATGCTGCCTTTTTGTATATATCGGTGCTACAAAGTTTTATCAGTTATGAAGTTTAAATGACTGTAACTTGTACGCTCAAATGACAAACCTTGTATAGTTTTTTTAATGACAGTATCTCCAAATTACGGGTTTGGTTAATTGTTACTCTGAAATAGTTGGTTATGAATTGAATTTTTTACATAAACATATATATTCCCTCATGCCTCCCCTCTCCCATTGGGGTTTATGGGGGAGTTGTTTGATTTATGAATATTAATATGGGAATAGGTTATTTATGTTTGATTTTAATGATTTTTCCATGTGAAAATTTTGTGTTTCTTCCATTTTTCATAGACTTTTACAAATTTTGATAGGTCACTTATTTAATGTATACGATGAAAGAGATAGAAATAAAATTGTCATTGACATTGTCATATGAAAACATAACGTTGAAAGGATATGTTCCATGTAAATACAACTTTGTAATAATCTATCTGTTTTTTTTTTTTTTTTTGAAAAATAATCTATCTGTTTAATCCTTAATCAATGGAACTCATATTTATGGCGGTCTATAAATCTGCTCAACTTAACATTGAATTAAAATGAACTCAAATTGCCAAGATTAGCTGAATTGGCACTAATTTCAGTGTTTAAATTGTAGTGTGATGATATACAGCGGAGTTTTTTTTTTTTATTATTTAATATATCACCTATGTGTATACAGTTTATCAAGAGAGTCATTGTGAAAAAAGTTGAAGACAGGTGATAGCTTTTCAAGAAAAGAAAAAAAATTAAACTTGAAATAATGTATTTCTTTCATTGCAGTTTCATTTATTTATTGTTCGGTTGGGTTAAATCGATAATATCTAACGAAGTTGATGTCTCTTTCTACGGAATATGAGAATGTTCTGGATTGTAAAGGCGAATGAGTGCTCAAATGTAAGCGTGAATGTCCCGTGACACTATATTGAGAACTTGTGGCGGTTGGAAAAATACGGGGTGGTGAAAACTGAAAAGCTAAAATTTCACATGTGGTGATCGTGGAAGGTGTAATAATAACATAGAGACTGAAAAATAAAAAACACGACGTTGGCTTATGAGACATGGCACAAGGACCAAATTTCCGCTTGTAAAAATGAGCGACCTTCCTCCTAATTAGACGCCAAGAACCCATTTGAAGATTCTTGGGACGTTCTCTTAGATAGGAATCTTATTTGGATGTTACAATACAATAAATAAAAATTTAATTTTATTAAAGAAGCCAAATCTCAAATGATTTTACTGAAAAAGTTTGATCTCAAAATAACTTTATTAAAAAACCCTCACTCAAATAGTTTTACTGAAAAAGCCAACCTCAAATCTATCCACCCACTAACATCAAATAGACTCCACTAATAACAAAATATGAAAAATAACTATCCACTATTTAAACAATTCAATAATTCAGAAAATAATAAAATAACATAAATATATTGTAACACAGGAACACTATTATGACTTATCTCTCTATTTTTATTTTTATTTTGGTTTTCTTCACGGTCTCATATTCCTTCTTTCTTTCCTCTCGGGTTTTCCAGTTACTCCCCTAAGCTTGCATTTTCGGAAGATTACTTTTTATTGGAGACTTTCGGGCTAATTGATCTGAAGTTTCATCTCAGTAGGGTGTGATGAGGGTGGCGCAATGTAATGTTCTGAGTACTAAGATATTATTTGGATGGGCTTCTCCTCCGGTAAAAGTGTTTTTTTTTTTTTGATTTTTTTTTTTAAATTTCTAATACCAAAAAAAGTGCTGTTTTTTAATACCAAAAAAAAAAAATTTAATTTTTTTTAATAATGAGATATTTTCTATTCTAGTCAGTTGTATAAGACGTTACAAGATTTGGTAGCAGAAATTGTAATTTATTTTAATTATTTGACATTTAAAGTTTTACACAAAAATTTAAAAAAGAGAATTAATAAATATATTTTGATTATTACGAACCAAAAGTTTTTTTTTTATTGTGCATTATATTCAGTTTTTTATATTTTATAAATGTTAAATATTATTGTGTATTATTTGTGGCAAAAACTTTCGTGTCACGGAAAATTAATCTGATAAAAAAAATATAATGGATTATCAATAATAGGGATGTTATTTTTTCAATCTCTTACAATTATTTTTATGTTTGTTGGACTAAAATTAAATTAATAGTCTCACTTAATAATATTTTGTAACGGCATAGTGGTTGATTGAAATTTAATTCAATAATTAAAAAATAATTTTAAAAGATTTTAACAAGTATAATTTCCCTCGTTAATAATTCGTAAATAAAGATAAATAGCGAAAGAGAGATCACGAGGCAAAAAGTGAGTGAGCTAAACGCAATGTCGTGTAGAGTGGGGGCAGCGGTGGTAAGACAAATTGTAGACATAAGGAGGACAACGTCAGTCACGCGCTACGTCGTCGCATATAGAACACAGACAGTGAAGGGACGAAGGACGAAGCGTGTGGTGTGGGAGTGAAGACAAATTATAAATAAATAAATATGAAAAATAAAAAACGGAAATAAGACGCGCGGTGAAATCCAGAGGCACAAAGCAGCGAGTGAACCAAGCGAGTTGAGTTCCCCTCCGATCGAATTGCTTCCCCAAATTCCAAAACCCTAGCTTTCCCACTCGCGCTTTTCCCCACTCGCGGATCCCTTCATATTTTCAAACTCGCCGCTCGTGATCTGCCCCCGCCCTTTAAGGTTTTTCGTCTCTCCCTCTCCCCTTGTGTTCTTCCCTCCTCCGCTCTCTCTCTCTCTCTCTCTCTTTTAATTTTTAATTTTTGTGTAATCTGTAGTATATAATAATTGTGAAAATGCTTAGAATGCTGAGAAAGTGAACGTACTTGCTAAAACACGATGTGGGTCTTGTAATTCCATCAACCTCAAAGAGATTTGTGACGTAAAGGTTTTAAATTTGCTGATGGAAGAAAAAGAAACTAGTTGTAGTTTAACAAAATGAGCACCAGTATTGACCAATGAAAATAAGCTAAAATACAAGAACAGAAGCTTCAGTAAAATGTGAATTCTGATTTCTGCATGAAGAGCTGGAAGGAAACCGCGTTCTGCTCTGCTCAAATTCTACACATGTAAAACTTCGTTCGTTTTTCGTTGAATGATCGTTGTTGTGTTGACTGATCAACAAGTCTTTTCAATTTAGCTTCCCCTTTCTTCTTGGTTAATTTGGAAACATCTAGAATCTTTACATTTTTGGATAAAGTCATTCATCATTGCATAACATCGTCCTCGAATTGGGGACATGCTAACTTTATGACAGTTATTATATGTCACACCACGATTTTATGTGTAACTCACTATATTTGGCCATTGCATTTATTAGAAACTTTCTTTTGCTGTATATTTTTCTGTAACAGGGGCGGCAATCGAAGTGCACTTTATATTGTAGTAGATATTAAGAACGGAGTGCATGTAGTGCAGTGAGTGAAAATATGGGTGATGCATTACATGAAGTGCAACGCAGGGGTGGTGGTGCACTTGTTGTTTCTCCTAAGAGTGACATTGCATTGTTTGAAGGGGACAGAGATTTTGAGCCACACAATGGCATTGAATTTGAATCTCATGGAGCAGCATATTCATTTTATCAGGATTATGCCAAATCTATGGGATTCACCACTTCGATCAAAAACAGTAGACGCTCAAAGAAAACAAAAGAATTTATCGATGCCAAATTTGCATGCTCTAGGTATGGGGTTACACCTGAGTCTGACAGTGGGAGCAGTCGAAGACCAAGTGTAAAGAAGACAGATTGCAAAGCTTGCATGCATGTGAAGAGAAGGCCGGATGGAAAGTGGATCATTCATGAATTTATAAAGGAACATAATCATGAACTTTTACCAGCTCTGGCATATCATTTTCGGATTCATAGAAATGTGAAATTAGCTGAAAAGAATAACATTGACATCCTGCATGCTGTCAGTGAACGCACCAGAAAGATGTATGTTGAAATGTCTAGGCAATCTGGTGGCTGTCAAAACATTGCGTCTATCTTGGGTGATGTAAATTATCAGTTTGACAGAGGCCAGTATTTGGCTTTGGATGAGGGAGATGCCCAAGTTATGCTTGAGTATTTTAAGCACATTCAAAAAGAGAATCCCAACTTCTTCTATTCTATAGATTTAAATGAAGAGCAACGTTTAAGAAATCTATTTTGGGTTGATGCAAAAAGTATCAATGATTATCTCAGTTTTAATGATGTTGTTTCATTTGATACCACTTACATAAAAAGCAACGATAAGTTGCCGTTTGCTCCTTTTGTTGGAGTGAACCATCATTCTCAACCTATATTGCTTGGATGTGCATTGCTTGCGGATGAGACTAAACCAACATTTGTTTGGTTAATGAAGACATGGCTTAGAGCGATGGGTGGGCAAGCTCCCAAAGTTATAATCACCGATCAAGACAAGTCCTTGAAGGCAGCAATTGAAGAAGTCTTGCCAAATGTACGACATTGCTTTTCTCTTTGGCACGTACTGGAAAGGATATCTGAAAATCTGTCTTTTGTGATCAAACAGTATAAGAATTTCTTGCCAAAGTTTCACAAGTGCATTTTTAAGTCATGTACAGATGAGCAGTTTGACATGAGATGGTGGAAAATGGTCCCTAGATTTGACCTCCAAGATGATATATGGTTTCAATCATTGTTTGAAGACCGGAAAAAGTGGGTGCCAACTTACATGGGGGATACCTTTTTAGCTGGAATGTCTACACCTCAACGTTCTGAAAGTATTAACTCTTTCTTTGACAAATATATTCATAAGAAAATCACCCTTAAAGAGTTTGTGAAACAATATGGGATAATTCTTCAGAATAGGTATGATGAGGAAGCCATTGCAGATTTTGATACATTACACAAACAGCCAGCTCTTAAATCTCCTTCACCTTGGGAAAAACAAATGTCAACAGTTTATACTCATGCAATATTTAAGAAATTCCAAGTTGAAGTTTTGGGTGTAGCTGGTTGTCAATCTAGGGTAGAGTTTGGAGATGGAACTATTTCAAAATTTATAGTTCAAGATTACGAGAAGGATGAAGATTTTTTGGTAACTTGGAATGAGTTGAGCTCAGAGGTCTCTTGCTTCTGTCGATTGTTTGAATATAAAGGTTTCCTTTGCAGACATGCATTGAGCGTTCTCCAACGTTGTGGTTGTTCAAGTGTTCCATCTCATTATATCATGAAGAGGTGGACCAAAGATGCCAAAAGTCGGGAATCCATGGCAGACAGGACAAGAAGGATACAAACTAGGGTTCAACGATATAATGACTTATGTAAAAGAGCTATTGATTTGAGTGAAGAAGGGTCATTATCTGAAGAGAGTTACAATGTTGTTTTTCGTGCAATTGTTGATTCCCTGAAGAACTGTGTACATGTGAATAACTCTAACAACAATTGTGCAGAAACTAGTAACAATGCTTATGGCCTTAGGGAAGCAGAAGAAAATCGGGGTACCCTTGCTTTGAAACCAAGTAAGAAGAGGAACACACCTCGGAAAAGAAAGGTCAGATTTAATTTTGTGGTTCATTTGCTTAAGTGTTTGTTAAATTGTTTTGGCTTTCTAACATTTAAAAGATAAGAAAATTAATTTGAGAATCACTTTTATAGGTGCAATTAGAGCAGGATGTTATACTTGTTGATACTCAAGATAGCCTGCAGCAAATGGTTTGTGTTACCTCTGTTTCAATCATGATCTGTTTTAGTGTTTACAAATAAGCATATTGCATTTAATCTCTTGGGAATTGCATCACTATTTTCATGAATATATGCCGCATTTGTATCAAGACTGGAAAGAGATCTATAACCTTGCTTCCTGTAACACTTGCTTTCATTCTTTTAGGATAATCTTAGCTCGGATGCAATAACCCTTAATGGATATTATGGTACCCAGCAGAATGTGCAAGGACTGGTATTTTATACTTGACACCCCACAAATGATTACATAAATCCTGTATTTTAAGAATCAATGTAATGTTTAATTAATAATTTTTGGTTTTTGTAGCAGGTACAGTTGAACTTAATGGAGCCACCTCATGATGGTTACTATGTTAATCAACAGAGCATGCAAGGCCTGGTTAGTTGTCCAAATCAAGATTATAATTTGAAATATGATTAGTATATAATATATAGGAATAGCATTGTTATAAATTGATATCCATATGCTTGTAGGGTCCATTGAATTCTATGGCTCCAAGCCATGATGGGTTTTTTGGAACACAGCATAGCATTCCTGGGCTGGTAGAGTACTTTTTACCATTTTTTGAGCCTATGAAATTATTGGAAAGTCTTGACTAACTTCAACACGATGAAAGTTTGCTAATTTTGTGTTGGTTCATGAAGGGCCGGGAATTGGAATTTCGTCCAGCAACTACTTTTGGATATAGCCTTCAGGTTTGTGCACGAAGTGTGCCATAATATACTAGCATTTTAACTTGGAATAACAGAATTTGTGTTCGGTTTTCAATGTCTTAAGCCCATAACCTTGATTGCAGGATGAGCCCGATCCCCATTTTCATGGCAACAGTTCAAGAAATACTTAAAATACAATTGAAGGAACTTGGACGGCTTCATTGTCTTGACAACAGTTCATATTCATACTTCAATGTTTCTGTAATATTTTTACCATTGAAGTACCTCATATCTTGACAACAGTTCAACTTCCTGTATCTTTTACATGGAAGTTGTCCATTGTAACTTAAGCTCAAAAATCTGTCTTCACTTGTCTTCCCTCCCTGATGGTGGTCACCTCAAAATGAATTATATTGCATTCTGCATTGTCGTTTGTTTCTGGTGGCACAAAAAATTGGGAATGAACTGTTCGCCGCAAATTAGAGTGAGAGAATGCCCCGAAAATCTGGTCAGTTTGTCACAAGTAAGAGGCAGAAGTTAAGGTCCTACCATTGGAACAAATACAAGCACATCACTTTTCATGGTAATTACACAAGGGAGTCCATTGGACCGATTTGTATAATCAGATGTGTTTCTCTAGTGAAATTGATGGAGTGAACTTGTACATCGAAGCTGATCACATTTTGGGTTAGAAATGTAATGCAATCTTTGGCACTTTTCCGAAGATGTTTTAGCTGTTTAGTATTCCTACCGTATCTATAATAGATTAAATATGAGCGTTCTGAGTTTCTGTATATCCACCCCTCCTCCCAAAAGTTTAAAAAAGCTTTAAAAGTTCCATTGTCGAATATATTAGCTCAAATATGCCAATTACAGATAATATCTATCTATTCATACTTGTATATATAACAAAACCAATTCATATTAATATTGTTTCTGGTTTGGAGGGATTTCATATGATGTAGTCGAAATGTGTACCTAGAATATTACAAATGAGGAGTGGAGCTATGCGGTATTCAGCTTAAAGAAAAGCTAGTATAGTGTGATTAGAAAAATCAGTAAAAAAAAAAAAAAAAAGTTTAAAAATTAACTAGAATTAACTTGAACGTTACACGTAATAATATTTCAGAGGGAGATAAATTGTTACGCAATCATTGAGTTAAAAAATTGCTGCCTATTATTCTAAGTTGTCATGGATTTATTTTCAATAATTATATCATAAGTATAGCTCAGTTGTTCAACTTTGTTTTCATTTTTCATCTTTCAAAATTGGAATCAGATTTTTACTAAAAAAATGGAATAAAATAAATGTAATTTTTTGAATTTTTTTTTCTCTTTAAAGTTTCGAATATCTGTCAATACTTCGTTTCCCCTTGTTTAGCAGAATTTATAAAAAAAAAAGTTTATAAAAAATTAAAATAACTTATATCTAGATATGTTTAAAAAAGTTGAAAAAATTAATGGGTTCGCTTTTTCTAAAGTCAATACGGATAATTTATCTACATTGAGCTCAAAACGACGTCGTTTTAAGACGAAAATTAAAGTATTTTTATAATTATAATTTATTCCAGGGTTATAATAGTCTTTTTCATTATAATTTTTTAATTTTTTAATGCAAAACGAAGTCGTTTTGGAAGTGAATGTAAATAACTTGTCTACAAATATTAAAGCCAAAATTTATATATAAAATGTATTGAAATATTTGAAATGAGCGAAAAAGGAAAAATAGTTAATAATTTAAATGGCCGTGTGGCAAGGGGCGTAACTCTTAACGGCTAGTTTTATGTTTTCCGTTTGAAACAAATAGAGGGTTCCTCTGTGTGTTTCAGTGTGAATCCAATCTATAACATACATATCTGTGTATTTTGAGTTCAATCTTTCGGTGATCTCAGAAATTGTTGAAGGCTTCGCTAATATTAATGGATCTTGTGTGCATCTCTGCGTCAGAGAATCACTCCCCCGATGCCCACGCCCTTCATCATGAATCTCCAACCGTCTCTACCAATTCCAAGATTGCAAAGGCAAGCCTTCCACGTTTGTTTGTTTGTTCGTTTTTCATTGACATTTTCGATATTCAAGTGGTTTCCTCATTGCTATTTTGTTTTTTGTTTTTTTAAATTTTCGCAATCCTTGTTTTCATTTCTGTGTTTACTGATTCAAAACCTAAATTGATGACCACCGGTCCACTAGTTCTTTCTGTATTCGAAACCCTTGACAATGTTGATCGTGGAATTACTCGAGAAAAAACTGGCAATTCAGACTGTTGAGTCTTGAGCAGTTCCAGATACGAAGAGTTTCAGGATTAGGATAGTTGGGATGTGATGAGGATATAAAGATAACCTATCTTCTTAGGGTCTGGTCATATCTAGTGAATTCATGTGACAATAACCTTGACCAGGACAATTTAAGTAAGTAACAACTAGATAGGTGAAATCAGCAACATGAAGAGAAGCAACACCAACGTGGAATAGTCTAGTTTCTTCTCTTTGCATAGTAGCCTTGCGGTGAACTTGAACAATTACGCGTAGCAATCTTCAAATAACTTGACTGTTCGTGTTGATTATGTTATTGTTGGCCTTTCAAGAGTTTACTAAATGTTTTATTTTTTAATTTTTAATCTGTACTACAAATAAATTGTTTGGTTGATTCCTTAACAATTCTGTGTTCGTTTTATTGAATGGTGCAGAATAAATTGACCAAAGAGGCTGGCCAATCTACATTAAATGCTCTTCACAAGTTCACATCACAAATTAGAAAGCCTCCTCGTCGTAAAACTTCTCCTATCAACTGGTTTCCGCGCAAAAAAGTGGATTCCTACTTGAAGAGGAAAATTAAGATGCTTCAGGTTATGCCATAGACGTATATATATTCACTATTTGTATTTAGTTGATTACTTCTGAATTCAAATGCTAACTCATTTGGCCTTTCAGGAAGTAGATGGTATGAATTTGACACTTGATCAGACTCTAGGCAGTTCTAACCCACATTATTCAAGAGTACTGAGAGAGAAAATGGCTGCCAGAGAAGCAGCACACAAGGCAGTGGAGGCCCGAAGAGCTGCATTGGTGGAAGCTTCTTGGTGTCGAATTTTACGTGCTGCCAGGTAAAGTTTTCTGCCAACGACATATGCTTGGCACTGTTGGTTTCTCGTTTGTATATTGGATTTCACTTTCATTTTTGGTCTTTTCAGGATTCCTAGTGATGATGCAGAAGCTCAACTCTTAAAAGCAGAAAAAAGTGCAACAGAAGCTTTTGAGGCAGCCCAGGCTATGGGCGTTATCATGTTTGACTTGCCAAATTGCCCTAGGAAGCATTGCCAAATAGAGGCATCCTCTGTTAATGGAGAAGGATCATCAACCCATACTGTTACTGCATCTTTTGAAACTGCCTTTGAGGTAGATAAAGAAGTTGCTGAAGCAGTCAAAACTGCATTTATTAAGCTTGCAAACTGCCCTTCGTTTAGTAAAGATGAATTCAAAGAACTACTAAGAAAAATTAGTGAAAACCCAGATACAGACGAAAGTAATCAGGACTTGTCTGAGTTCTCTTCGGAGTATGAATATGAGTCTGGGTCAGAACTTGATTCAGTCTCTCAAAAGAGTGACTTCAATTCCCAAGACTTGGATTCTAAAATGCCATTTCTGGGGGTAAGTCAGAGGAAAAGCAGGAGGAGACCGTCTCTTGACTACAGAACAAAACTTGTAGATATGATGGTTGAGAGGTTAAAATGTTTGCAGGAAGATGAACTTTCTTCTCTTGCCACTATAGTTGCAACTTATGGTTTAAATGCTGCCTTAGGTGAAGTGCAGAATATCAAGCTGCAGAATCCAGGATCTGCCACTGAGAATACCTCCTCTTCAGCAATTGATTTTCCAGCAAGAAGAATGTCATCATTGGGATTGGGAAAGTCAGTTTTGGATGGGAAAATCAGAAAAAAGCAAGTTGAGCCAGAATTACCGAGCCTAGATAAGTTTTTAGTTAAGCACATGACGAAACTTGAAAGAGAGGTTTTGGAAGCCAAGAAAAAACAAAGAAATGAGACAGAATCAGGTAGGGATAGCTCGGGTAAATCTGTTGATGGAACTCCATCAGAGACCATACCTGATTTGGGAAGTATTCTAGTGAAGAATTGTACACAACTAGAGAAAGATATAAAGGAGGCAGAAATTAAGTCGGGAAAGGAAACGCCAGGAATTCCAAGTGGCTTGTCAAATCGTCAAAAAGACCATGCAGAAGTACCAAGTTTAGATAAGGTTTTAGTAAAACATGTCTCAAGACTAGAAAGGGAAGTCCAAGAAGCAAAGAACAGAACAATCAATGAGAAATTAAGTTTGAAGAAAAAAGTTGATCTAGATACCTCAGGTGGACTGAATTCAACATTCTATTCTGATGAAGCATTGGACAGGAAAGAGAACATAAATTCAAATACGGAGATTAACTTGAGTGCTGAGAAAGAGGAAAACAAAGACGGGTTGGAGAAGATTCTTATAAAGCCCGTGCACAGATTGGAAAGAGAGAAGATGGATGCCTTGTCACTGGGTGGAAGCCATGTTGAAAATTATAGGCAAAGAAAGTATCATGGAGCAACCAATGTTAGGGATTGTGAGAGCTTGGATAAAATTTTAGTAAAGCATGTCTCTAGACTGGAGAAGGAGAAAATGAAGATCAATTCAGGGGAAGAATGGGGCGAAGTTAAGAGAATTCACAGAAACATCCATGTGGAGACAAATGAAGGTGGTGGTCTGGACCAAGTTTTGGTTAAACATAAATCCAGACTTGAGCGAGAAAAGATGGTTGCTGCTGAGAAGCCAGAGAACCCAGTTAGCCTTTCTACGGCTCGTCGTGAAGCAAGGGAAAGAGAGTTGCAAGAAGCTTGGGGAGGACTGAGCTTAGGAAACATCCATGTGGATACAAAGGAAGGTGGTGGTCTGGACCAAGTTTTGGTTAGACATAAATCCAGACTTGAGAAAGAAAAGATGGTTGCTGCTGAGAAGCCAGAGAACCCAGTTAGCCTTTCTATGGTTCGTCGTGAAGCTAGGGAAAGAGAGTTGCAAGGAGCTTGGGGAGGACTGAGCTTGGGAAACTCCATTAAGCCTCATCTCTCTAAGCTTGAACGAGACAAGGTTTGTCTTAGTGTTGCTTGACAATCTAAATTCTTACTCTCATATTCGTTTTATTATTTTTCTGATATTAAAATGACAGTTGCAAAAGTTATTGACTCCGTCCAATCTGCTCCGATTTTTTTTATCTAGGCTGCCTGGATTAAAGCTGAAGAGGAGGAAAGGAAGCAGGCAATGAAAGCAATATGATTGTAATTTTCCTACAATTCCTTTATTCATTTGTGTTGACATCTACTTTGTAATATTCGTTTGTGTTGATTGTACTTCAACTTCAAAGGGAAAGGAAGTAACCAAAAAAGCAACATGATTGTAATTTTCCTTACAATTCCTTTATTCATCTCATCTGTGTTGATATCAATGCAATATTCACTTCTTGATTGTATTTCAACTCCTGACGAATTGCCTGATCAAGGGAATTGGTTCCAGATTATACTAGCTATCTCAAAGTCGTTTGTTTGTTTATGCTCTTTGTTTGATTTTATCCTCTAGCTTGTTAGAGCAATAAACAAATGCTGTTTGAAAAATCAACAGCTTGGTCAATATTTTGTCCAGGGATAGAAAAGGAAGTATTCGCTTCTTGGTTTTACTTTCAACTCCTGACGAATTGCTTCATCCTTTTGTTTCATTTTCTCATTTAGATTGACAGAGCAATCAACAAATGCTGTTAGGAAAATCAACAACTTTGTCAATAATTTCTTCCTGGGATAGAAGATGAAATTGCTGATCGCTTTTTCTGATTGCCGTGTCAGCATGAAAGCTCTTTTACCCATTTGTAAAAGAGCTATATAATTGATTTCCTTCGCCCTCATTTTGATTTAACAAGACACTAAATACAAAGATAATACCTTGATGGTCATGGCCTTCTTTGTTGGATTCTAGCTGGCTTCCTAAACAATCAGATTCAGCATTAAACGAACAACTCAGAAATTAAATACAAAGATCTAAGACAGCCTAAGGAATAACTCGGAGAACAGAGAAACAAGAGAATCAAGATTAAGAGAGTACCCTACATGGCTGCTTGGCCTTCTGTCCATTGCCTCCTCCCATGGCTGTTCAATATGTGTAAGATCTTTTGGTGTTTGTCTGAGAATGCAGAGGACTGAAGGAGTTATAGTTACTTTCTATGTTTCTGTTGGACCTGCTATTTTTTTTTATTTTATTTTTCCTATCTATTCACTGGTTTTTTTTTATCTAGAATTGTTGTGACTGAGAATCCGTATTTCACTTTTTCTCTAATCTGCATTTAGGAGCAAACTTAATTTTGGTTGAAAATAATCAAACCTTATTTTTTCTGGCAAAATTAGTTACGACTAGCATTTGGGTGTCTCTGCAGCAGAACTAAACATTCAATAGTCCTTTTCTTATTAGGCTTTTGTTCTGTAGATTGTGTGAAATATGAAATGTGGTTACAGATTGCCAATCATTTGTGCTTATTGCCTGCTATCTATTGTACTTCGCTTTCTCATTATAAGAGAAGTTGGAGAAATGTCTCCGTTAGCTTGCTTTCTAGATGAGATATATTTGCTACGACATATGAAATTGCTGTTGCCTAATTTATTTCTATATGCAGTTATCTATACTCCTAAATGAAACATTGGGTATCAATGATTGTTTGAAATCTGAGCTCTGATCCAATTTCCTAGTGTCTTCTTCACTTATTGGCTATCTTATCACATACTTATACCCAAAGTTTTCTCGCTAAATTTTTGTGTAATTGTTTTTTTTTTAATTTTTGAATTGCCAAAAGATTCATGAATGCTACAGCTGTCTAGCATGTTCTTGTTGATTATGAAGTGTTGTTGTGCTGTATAGACAATTTATTGAATCCATTTATATAAGTTATGACTTTTTTCCCCCTGTCATGATGGCCAGTGTTGTCTCTGGTTTTTTAACTAAATGTCGGGAACATGCTGAAGCAAAGCACCCCAAGGCTGATCTTTATGCTTGTTTTCCACATCTTAAAAAGTGACTATTAGATTGCAAAACATTAACTTGTCGAAGCAGATTTGTAGAGCATGCCTATGACGTATTGTACTATGTTGCGTTGATCCACCTTTAGGTGGTTAGTGAAGCTATCTATTAAGAAGTCCTTATGCCAAATATCAAACCTTAAACTTAGAAGTAAATATGGGATTATGAATAAATGTTGTAGTTTGTATAATCATGAGACTAAAAATGTTAATTGAAAATGTCACTCAAGGCCCGTTCCGATGGACATTGGAAAAAAAGGAATTTTTATACCTTCTTTGTTTTAAAAGATTTTTTTAAAAAGTTAAAGTCATTTTGCATTTGGATATAATACATTCAAAGTACTTTTAATTAAATAAATAATTTGAATGTTAAAATTAATAATATGTTTTTTATGTATAAAATTACTAAAAGAATATATATGAAAACAAATCACGAGAGCAAATTTAATTGTGGCAATGGTAATAATGATGGTGGTAATGGTTTGGATGATAGCAGTCATAGTGATCACAACAATGATGATGTGATGGCAATGATGGGGCTGTGGTGGCAACAATGGTGGTAGAGGAGGTAGCAGTGGTGGTGCTGACAGTGAGAGAGGTGAAATTGATTGGGTTTGTGGTGATAGTGGCAATGGTAATTGTTTATGGATATATATAAAGCCCATATATCTGAAGTTTCGATAAAGGGCAATCACACAATTCAAGAAAGAATCCTCTTATTAACGACAATCCTTTCATGACAATAATACAGTGGTATATTAAGCCTACAGCCTATTAAAGGTTCAAAATGCTACTACTTATAGATAAACTCTATAAATAAGAGAAAAAGTCTAGAGATATGATCTTATTTGTCTCATCTATTGCTATGTTGTTACTGTGCACATATATGATCCCTTTGGCAAATGTCGTATCTATTGCGATAACCGAACCGAAAAATCGATAACCGAATAAATCGAAAACCGAAAAATTGAAAATCGAAAAAAACCTGCAAATTTTAATTGGATTGGATCAGTTTTTGGATGGGTTGATGAAAACCGGTCCAATCCAAATGGATCCAATATATTAATTCCCCTCTACCTACTTGGATTTTTTCCCAATCATAGCTCAAAAATTTCTAAACCTAGGACTCATTAACCTATTAACTAAACCCAAGAAAAAATCTAGTCACGTCTCATCAAAAAAAAATTATCATTATAGAGCTTCATATCTCATTACAAAAAAAATTATATTATAGTTTACTAATGCTTTTGTATTTCAAAAAATAAATAAATTACAAAGCCAATATATACAAAAGATGATATTTGCACAATAATCATGAAATAAATTTTAGGATTTTCAAAAAATCGAAAACCGATCCAATCCAAATCGAAAAAAATTGGATTGGATCGGATCGAAATTTGAAAAAAAATTCAAACCGAATGGATGATGATATGATCAAACCAAAGGGATTGGATCAGATGATTTTTGCTTCCAAAACCGATCCAATCCAGACCGCGAACACCCTTAGTAATAACCTATGATGCACCGACACGGACACGGGACACGACACGACACGACATGCCGACACGTTAATTCTAAAAAATGTCATATTTCGACACGTTGGGACACGTTTTGATATTAAATAAATTTTTTAATATATATAATATGATTTATATTTAATACGTATAAGAGTCCATAATAAGTCATATAACCAATCAAATATTTAAATTTCATAACATAAATATAAATATAAATAATTTTTCGTACTTTGTTATTTTTTCATGTCAAATTTCATAACATAAAAAAATTAATTTATAAATTAATTTTTTTATATTTAGTTAATAAAATAAAGTTAAGATTAAAAAAAAAAAGTGTCGGAGCGTTGACCGCGTGTCAAAAAAGTTGACTGTGTGTCGGAAAAATATGTCAGAACGTGTCGGAGAGTTGACCGCGTGTCTTTAAATGTTGACCACGTGTCGGACGCGTGTCGCGTGTCAGAGCGTGTCCTTGTCGGACATGTGTCCGATACGCAAATTTTTCAAAAAATCCATGTCCGTGCTTGTTAGGTAATAACTACGAGAGAGGTAAGATCGAGATAAATTTGACTTTCGAAAAAAAAAATTGACTCTTGAAAAAATTAATAGCAGTCATTCAAATACTTATTTGCAGTGTTTAAAAACCCGGCCCGGCCATCGACCCGGCCGAGGTCAGGGGTCATGGGGTCACGGGTTCAACCGAGGAGTCACGGGGTCACTACGCTGACCCGGTTTTATATATTAAAAAAATATAAATATATATATCCTATATGAAAATATTAAAACATAAACCACCAATCATCAAAGATTCAAAATATACTTAACATAATTCACCAATTACAACCACAAGTTAATGAGATCACTACGCTGATCCGGTTCTGCCTCTTTTGAGAAGGTCTCTAACAAAGGAAAATTTAAAGGAAGTAAGAATGAGTTTTTGTTTTTCATCAACGACCATAAAGATTTCATTTGAATGAGGAAATGTTTACCTTTATAGAAGATTTATGGCAGCGAGGTGAAGATTGAAGACGTCTAGGTCGCTGGGAGAGAATAGAACGATAAAATTTAGGTTTGCAAGCATTTTTATTTAATTTTTTTAATAAAACGATGTTGTTTCATGGAATTTTTTTAAAAAAAAAGAAAACATGCAATGACCCCCTTCGACCCCTCTGATCCGGGAGTCACTGAAACCCGACTGAGTTTTGAGAGTCAGAGAGGTCAATGTGCATATAAGGTCCAACTTATGACCCCAACCCTCATAGGAGAGGAGTCAGGGTTGACCCGGGGTGGGATGGGATTTTAAATCACTGCTTATTTGTAGCGTGGGTGAATTTTTTTTTGAAAAAGCAGCTAAAAAAACAACTATCGGAAAAGTGAATACTTGAAAATCCTGACTCTACGGCCTTGTTGAGGATAATTGTTAACATTATTTTGACGTTGAAATTCTTTATCTGAGGTTGCTTGTCTGGCGTGGTCCAACATCTGGGATTATAATTCATAGAATATTATGAATAGATTCGTCACTCAAAATTTAGCAACCCAGTGAGAGATCGAGTATTGTTTGCATCCAACATTTTTTCGGAAAAGTGCTGCATTCAAATTACAACAGGCTGACAGGACATTAGTGGCACGTATGACTCCAATGATATTAATGGTATTAATTAGGCTCTCTCTTTTTTCCCCTTTTAATTTTAGACATGTACATTCGTTCCATTTGTTTGTACAAAGATACTCAAGATTGGTCAAATTTTAATGGATGTTTAATCGTGAATAATTTGAATACTTTACTGGATCGATGCGAAATTTCAAGAAAGTTGTAAATCTAGTTGCAATGGATCTATTTGAGAATAAAAAAAAAAAATCTAATTGGTAATACTTGTTTTATAAAAATAATTTTAAAAATTTATTTTTATTTTTTAATTTTTAGATTCAAATTTTAAAATTATATTAATGTTGTTTTTCTTTTGTGTTCAGATTTTTAACTTTTAAAATAAAAAAATGCAAAAAATATTTTTTCATTGAGTATTCTATAAAATAGTTTTAGAAAAAAAAAACACAGAATATAATTAAATAGATTGAATAAATTTCATTTAATTTTCTGTATATTTATATTTTATTTTTGTCACTACATTACAAATGTGAAATAATATGATTACGAGAATGTATCATGCATTTTCCCAGAACTAAATTGAGCAAGGCAACAAATCTCGGATTTTAGTTAAACCTGAAATTGGATAAAAATGCCCTTTAAAATTTTTACGAAGTATAATGTTTATACCAAATTAGTCAAACCCAAATAAAAAGTTTAAAAAATTGAGAAAAAAAGACAAATAAATAATTTAGATAAATGAATAAGTAAATGAAGAAATATATAAAAGATCGCTGTAACATAAATAAATTTTTTTTTTCATATTATAATGTTAGAAAGAAATTAAAAAAAAAAAACAGCATGTGCCGGATAACTGATAACATGCAGGTGTCTCGCTGAGTTCTGCGTGAAAGTTTTTTATTTTTATTTATAAGATTTATGATCACTTACCAGAACAAAGATTTGTGATTTTATTATGTCTTGTTGGGTAACCAAACTTGCTCATAAAATAGTTTTATACATGTACGGAAAAAGAAAGATTGATAAAGGATTGTACCCATAGAGAACAGAGAAGTGGTCCAATCCAGAAAATGCAAACTGCGTGAATATTCAATACTTCAGTGACAGGTGCTCTTTACTAAAAAATACGAATAAGTGAAACTCTAATATTAATCAGAAAGGAAGCGAATAGAATAAAAAAAATTAGGAATATATATATATATATATATATATATATTTATATATATTCAAAAAAATATTTTCTTATGTTAAATGAAACAATTTTTCTCTCTTACACAAATAAAAGGGTGAGTTTCTTGAGCTGCTTCTTCTTCTTTTACAAATAGTGAAATTCACATGTTTATCCTTATTATATGAGATAATTTATTTATTTTTAATGAGATTAATATCACCCTTATATATTATATGAATTTTAGTAAATGGTGTACCAGATATTTTACAGTAGATATTTTGCCTATTGTGCCTCGTGCGCACGACAACTCTTCATTCACGGTAGAAAGCAAAATTGACAATTGTTATCTCAATTTAGTGGAGATGTTTGGTGGGAATACCATATTTATGTTGAAGTTGTTCAAACCACGAAACAGGTTCCCAAGTTCACATTGTGAGCGAGTGTTCCCATTCAAGTCTCGGCTGCCACAGTCAACACTGTTTCCCTTCACAAGTTACCAAACTAGCTAGTCCTTCTTTCAAGTAAACAGTTCCCCACACAGTACTCACTCACTGTGACCATTACCAATATCAAAAATAAGGTGTGTGAGAGCGTACCCCACACAACACGCCAAACACCATTGCACCAACAGTACTCACAAGACTTTTGCTTTCATCTCCTATTTCAACTATAATAATTTGACTATGACTACTAGACTCAGTCTTCTTTTCCAACCCCATTACTACTGCCACTTGGTCCATTTCTCTTCTCTCTTCTTTAGTCCTTCTTCTTCAATTTTCTTCCCTCCCTCTTTTTAAGTTTTGCCTTTCCTCTCTCTTTCTCTCCTACTTTCTCACACTTACACAAAGATTTGCTCTCTAAGGAGGGAAAAAATGGCACCTTTCATTTACCACTCTCTATTTCTTCTCCTTCTCCAATATCCCCTCCTATCCCTCTCAACCAACTCCGAAGGTATATCCTATTGCTTCATTTCTCAACCTTTCCCTTTGCTTTTCAATCGTGTGTCTTTGTACAGTCAATTTGTTTTCTCAAAAATTATTGCGGAGTGGAGAATTTATATGTCTAGATCATTTGTTATTTCACTTGTTTGTTTTTCCTTTTTTTTTTCTTTTTTTCTTTTTTATGAATGAAAATGTTTTTGACATGATATGTGGCTTTTGCTTGTGTAGGGAATGCTCTGCATACTTTGAGAAGCAGGCTTTCTGACCCCAACAACGTGCTGCAGAGTTGGGACCCAACTCTGGTTAATCCATGTACTTGGTTCCATGTTACCTGTGACTCCAACAATCATGTGATTCGCTTGTAAGATTCCCTTTGTTCTTTTATTTCTGCTATTTCAATTTTTTATATTTACTCTTTTGAGTTTTTTTTTGTTTTTTTTATTATTACAGTAATTGGGTTTGGGCTTTCTAATCAGTTGTCTAACCTTTGAATTTCAGTGACTTGGGCAATTCTAACGTTTCTGGATCTCTGGGCCCAGAACTTGGCCAGCTACACCATCTGCAGTACCTGTATGGCCTTCCCTTGCCTATTACATTTGGGAAGTTCAAAATATGAGCTTCTTTGTTTGATCTGTTCTTTGATTTAAAAGCATGTGCCATCTGACATTATTCAAATTGTGAAATTGAACAAGCTAATTTCATGAATTTTTTTTTTTTGTAGTGCTATCCATTATTTTCTTCCCATGCCAGAGTTAGGAGAGTACCAAATTATGAACTATTTCTGCAATTTAATCTTATTTATTATTGGGAGCAAACAGATGTTCTATTTGTGCTTAATCAAATATGCACCAAGTTTTCGTTTTTGTTTTTATTTTTTGTGGTGGGGGTAGTTTTGCAAAAATCAGATGAGAGATTCTGATATTCTTAATTACAGGGAGCTCTATATGAATGACTTAAGAGGAAAGATTCCTGAGGAACTTGGTAACTTGAAACACCTTATTAGCATGGATTTGTATGGTAACAAGTTGGAGGGGAAAATCCCAAAGTCATTTGGCAAGTTGAAGTCACTTAAATTCCTGTAAGCATGTTTATGTTGATCTGCCTGAAATTTCTGACTTTTTGTTCTAGAATTTTACTTCGAAATTATGTATAAATTGCTGCCTGTTTCGCTCACTCATTTGCATTGATGAATTAGACGGCTGAATAGCAACAAATTGTCAGGATCAATCCCAAGAGAACTCACTAGTCTCACTAATCTCAAAATCTTGTGAGTTTTTTTTTTTTTTTTCCTCTTAAGATCATGTTTTCTTCCCCCTTTTTTATTGGGAATAATGTGAAGCAATGGAGATAATCCCGAGTTCAATTTCACTAGTGGTCTTATTTCCTTTTATTTTTGTGATTAATTTATCAGCTAATTTGAAATCACTATGCTGCAGTGATGTTTCTAATAACGACCTCTGTGGAACAATACCAGTAGATGGAAACTTTGGATCTTTCCCAATGGAAAGGTACAGAATCTCTGTTGTGATTGTTAACCCATTAGTCCTATCGGTATAACATATCCTTAACAACTAACAATGACTTACCAATCCAAACATGTCTTGATATACATGCAAGGTACTAGAAAAATATAGTGCTTTCTCTTACTTCATCTGTATAACTTTCATGAACCTTTACCTAATTAAGCATCCTAACATGTATCATTTCTTATAGACTTAGTGCCTAGCTTATTTCTCAACTGTATTAGATGACCAATTTGACATTCGTGTGATGAGATATAATTGATTTGAATGAAATATCCAAAAGATAAAATACACTAATATATTTGCCAACTATCCGCTTGGTAGTATAGCCTATGAGAAGCTTGAATTCATAACAAATATATGATGACACATAATCTTACATTTATTATTTGAAGCTGGAGTTATTTAAATCTATTACTACTATTAGATTTACAATATATTTCTCCTTTTCTTGTTTCAGTTTTGAAAACAACAGACTTAATGGTCCCGAGCTGAAAGGACTTGTTCCATATGATTTTGGATGCTGAAGAAAGATAGAACTTGCTTATGATCTTGACAGAATGCAATGAATAGGCTAAGTTTAGGTGGGGAGTATCAGATGGATGATGTATTTGCACATCAATAGTTCTTCACCGTTCGTACACTTTTTCTTGATTGGGGAAATAAAAAAATATTATTTTCGAACTTGTGTTTTTCTTGTTTTATTATAAGACGTGGTGGAAAAAAGAGAGTATATAAATAACAATTATTGGTGTAATGCTTGATCAGAAAATGAATTAAAAATGTCACATTTGCATGTCGATTTATCTAGTAAGATGATTGTACCACCTGTCTTGGATTACAGGTAGCCGTAGCATGACAATAGTTTTATAATAAGATGAGCACACAGCGAAACGCATAGCATGTAACAGATATTTCTAGATTAACAAAGGGAAATATTACTCTCATTTCGCATGAGACATCTTATCTCATTTTCTCTTACTTCGATTTTCGCACTCTATCTTTTTATTTTTTTTCTTTTTTCTTAAAATGGTGAGATTCACCCATTTTCTCTCTAACACATAAGATAATTATATGAAAGTTTGAATTAACAAATGTACCTTCAAGTTTGAATTAAATATGAAAGTGGGGCCTCTTGTGTCAAATAAAGCCAAACATGTAATGTAACTGCACAAAGTTCAGGGTAGTAGTTGCGTCCGAGATGTCCCTATGGTTGGGGAACACCTAATCTAACATGGTCGGTGAAAGAAAATTTTAGGTGAAATGTTCTAATCCAATACTCAATTTTTTTTATATAGAATTATCATTAGCTCATTCGAATGACTCCTCGATTAATGGATTCTATGCGTTGTTCGAAATTATTATTAAAAAAATCTTTGTTTATTTTGAGACATTTATTGTAAAAATCTTATTTTTAATAATGGTGAAAATTTAAAAAAATTCAAATTAAATTAGGGGTGAGTACATGCAATGATACTCAACTTCAAGTTAAGTTTCTTTTTTTTTTGGTACGATTTTTCCCCTTATATTGGTACTGTTACGAATTTCATTTTACTTTTTTTTTGGTTCAGGTTCATTTTAAAATAAATCTTAACTCATGTAATGAAATATTTCGTGCACGCTCACGGGCTTCTAATGACAACTTTGGCGGCCTTTTTCACTTAGAAATTTACATTAATCACTTGAACATGTACTACTTGGCACAAAATTGAGGGCGTGTTAGGGACGTGTCACAAAAGCAAAAGCAAGGGAGTGGAATTAACAATGTTATTAAACCTGTCCCGACATCGATTTGATTGGAGTATTGAGTTATTGGATTTTTGGTTGAATTGGTGAATTATTGGTTGAACTGATATAGATAAATATGAACATATAAATTTAATTATATTTTTTATATCTGAAATGAGTTAAATAAAATTCACTATATAAGCTAAAAAACATAAAGCACAAATAAATAAAAATACACATATTACCATGTCAATTTAAATTGTAACTCAGAATTTCCATAAACATACCTCTCAATGACATTCAACTCATATTTTTAAATTCATCTATATAGAAATGATATATGTCACATCCTCTTAATTTATTATTCTACAAATTGCTTCAGTAATGGAAGATGAAATTTGAGATCATTATAGAAGAGTATACTAGCAAATAAAATTACAAAATATTTTTAAAATGAGTTCTACATTTTTTTCTGATAAGATGAAATAATTTTGATTTTTTGATTTTTTTTTTTTAATGCATGAATCAACCGAGTTACCGGGTTTAATCGGATTTGACCGGGTTCAATGCATCACCGGTCCAATGATTGGTTCATTGGGTTCCAAGTCGTTCTGGCCGGATCGGGATGGGTTTCACGACAATGGGAATTAATATGATATAAGAGAATTCTAATTATACAAGGATGAATTAATAACGATAATGGAGGGGAGAAAAAAAGTATAAGAATAAGAAGTTATAAAATTATCATTGATTTGATTATTAATAACTAAGATCTTTTTAATGATCATGTTAATTAGCACATGTTTTCCAAAAACAGTGACACATCAATGATGTTGTCAGGTATGTTTTTATAACATGCAATATTCGAGTATAATTAACAATTTACTTACGTAAGACATATGTTAGTTTTTTTTTTCATCTAAATTTTATAAATTAAAATTGATTTTATATATTTGAAATTACATTTTCAACATATAATATTTTTTTTAATAAATCATATATATTTTTTATAGGAAATAACTCGTTCGAAGTGAGAACATTGACATTATAGTAGTGGGTTAGTGTTACGAACACAATAAATAAAAATAAGAATTTGGCTTTGAGGAAGTTTGACCTCAAATAATTTACAGAGGAAGCCTGATCTCTTGCACAGAGTGTTTTTTTTCAAATAATTCTTTTGATGGTCTTTATTCAAATACTTCAAGGTTTAAAACTTTAAATAGATAATACAAGACAATTTTAAAAATAACTACCCACTAATAACTATGACCTATTGGAAAGTTAAAATTCAAATAACCACCTATTACTTAAACAACCTAATAATTCAGAAAATAATAAAAATAAAAAACCGTAACAGTTAGCGCTCTCATATAATGTTGACTTGTCTAATATTTTAAATTTAAAATATAATTATAAAATAAGTATTTTCGTTATTAGTAATATGTGGCTCTTTTGTTTTTGGAGGCTCATGGATACACGGAGAAGGGAGAACTCTCGAAAAGAAAATAACCCCTACCTATGTACGAAAGACTTTGCTTGTACAATTAACTTAAGCTTAAATTTTTTAAATAAATTAGTTGCGATATATATTTGAAGGGTTTCAACTTATAAACTGATTTTTTAAATTTTGAAAATTAGACAAGCTTATAATTGTAATTTTGTAATTGTACTGGTACATCCCCTTTGTGATATAATATTTTCTTAAAAATGACTCATATAAAATAAGAGATTCATTTTAAAAAAATAAATTATAATTGTTAATAGTCAAAATTATAATAAAATACAAATAGACATTTATAATAAATTATAAATTTGTCACTATCCGTTTCCTAAACATTTTAATTAAGGATAATATTTTTATGGGATCATGACAGCTTCTCCCTTTGCACGATAAGTTGTTATCTTCTAGCTGATACAGTAGTTAGGAGAGAAAAAATGGGAAGATCATTTGATATATGGGGAAAAGAATTCTCATGTTACATGAGAATTCTTTCTCCTACTAGAGAGACATCGAAATATATGCAACAATTTTTTTTTTTTTAATGAGAGGTGGGACCCATCACTTATTGTGTCTATAGTAGGAGAATTCTTTCTCCTACAACATGAGAAAAGAGGGACTCTTGATATATATATATATATATATGGATTTGCATTCATCATATAACATGACCACAAAATTTTTTCGACACACATAACATTTTGTGGGACTCGCATTTTTTAAAGCAAAAAAAAAAAAACTACAGTACGGAAAACGAATATCTATAACATAACATAATCACTTTTCGTACAACATAACTTTTATAAAACCCATATGTATATATGGGAAAACATGTTTACAACTACTTTAGCAGTTACCCTTTTTAACTAAGTATAAGTATGACTGGTCATACATTAAAATTGTATTTTCTCTTTCCGCCACGTCAGTCGATAGTGTCTGAGGAGAGCGAAAAAAAAAGAACAATTTTATTGTTATAACTATGTATGACCGATTATATTTAGTTAAAAAGAAATAGCTATAAATAACCCTATCTAAAGTGATTGCAGAAATATTTTTCCTTTAAAAAGATGTTTATTATCAGTGGTGTTCGCGGTCTGGATTGGATCGATTTTGGAAGCAAAACTCATCTGATCCAATCCCTTCGGTTTGATCATGTAATCATCCATTCGGTTTAGATTTTTTTTCAAATCCGATCCAATCCAATCTTGAAAAATTGAAATACAAAAATATCAGTAAACAATACTATAATTGATGAGACGTGACTAAGTTTTTTTTTTGGTTTAGTTGATGAGTTAATGGGTCTTGAGTTTAGAAATTTTTGGGCTATGATTGGAGAAATGACAAGTAGGTAGAGAATAATTAATATATTGGATCGGTTTGGATTGGATCGGTTTTCATCAACCCATCCGAAAACCGATCCAATCCAATTAAAATTTGCGGTTTTCTTTCGGTTTCCGATTTTTCGGTTTATTCGGTTATCGATTTTTCGGTTCGGTTTTCGCGGTTTGAATCGGTTTGGATCGGTTGATGAACACCTCTAATTATCACACGACAAATATATATTTTTTGAATTGTACCTTCGCTTAAAAAAAATTCAAATCTTATATAAGATTTTAGGAAAATTCTAAGGAGAGAGAAGGAAAGAAAGAGCAAAGCCGTGAGGCAGAAGAGGCGAGTAGGTTTGCATTTGCATACCTCAACAAGTGGGGTTTAAAGCCGCAACTTGCATTCTTTTATTTCTTTTTGACATAAAAGAGGAGACACCAGAGTCCATAACTCCCACCAATTCCCATGAACTAGGAAAAGGTTCAAACTTTTCTTGTTTAAGGGTACCCCCGAAACCCCAAAGCCCATAGAAAATATGAGTAGTGCTCTTCTGAAGAATCCCACCAAGATCCAGAGGCAGTTGATGTTGATGAACCGTGTCACTGGTCCAATTAGAGTTCCTCCTTTTCTCTGCAACAAAGTGCAATCCAAACCTTATTTTCGATTACCAGATTTCCTTAGAAAACCCAGAGAATATGAAATCTCCCCATCTTTGTTTTCTTCATCCTTTTGTTCTTCTTCTTCTTCTCCTGCTACAACAGCTTCCCACTCCAAGGTTGGCTTTGTGGGTTGGTATTTGGGGATGATCAAGTCGTGGCCCATTCTCACAAAAAGTGTTACTTCCGCTCTTATTTATACCGCTGCTGATTTATCCTCCCAGGTATCCAAAGTTTCTTTCTGTTATTATGATACAAACCCATCGTCCCATGAATATATAACTGCATTTCCATGTTTTATGTATTGTTTAGTTGGGTAGTTATTTTCCATATTGTTTAGTTGAATAGTTATTTTTCTTTTTGTTTAGTGAGGTAGTTACTTTCCATTATGTTTTTACTGTTTATGCTTCCGTTGTAATTTTTATTTAAAGACCCATTATGAATGAAAAGATATCAGAAAATTGTTTCATTTAATTTATTTTTCTCTTTTCTTTAAGCTTAACCTTTTTGCTAAAAAGGAACCTATCATTTGGTGCTCTCGTTGAGTCCACTCTCCTCATCCATGGGTGAAAGAACACGTTTCATAAAACTTGAAAAAACCCAAGAAAATCATGCCACACAAATCAACAAACTTTTCGAAAACTCAACCCAAGCTCTTTCCCAAATCAACCAACTTCGTGAAACATCCACCAAAACTTTCACACAAATTTCCGACCTTACTAAACCATCCAATCAGACCGTTCACCGCCTTAATGAGGTTCAGACTACCCTTACCACTTTAATAGGCCGTATGCATATCACCCCAACCACCAATAACTCACCTCCACATTTCCCACCTATCCTTCAACCTAGACCCTTCAAACTTGACTTCCCACGCTTTGATGGAACAAATCCTTCAAGCTGGCTCTTCAAAGCTACACAGTTCTTCGACTTTCACCATACTCCACAACAACAAAAACTCTAGCCACCCCTTCCATGACTGGCACGACTTCATTATGGCACTTGAAGCCCGTTTTGGTGATTCTCCCTACGCTGATCACATGGGATCACTTGCAAAACTCCAACAGACAACCACACAATCAATAAGATTCATTTATTCAACTTCATTTTTCTACCCAGTGCTTCTGCTGCTGTTGTATATTCAGGATGTGCTGGTGACGTAAGATCTTGGAAGTGCATACATTTTGTGTGCATCATGGTGAAAGTTTTTGCTGCTCATTTTAACCTTCTGAACGTTATATGGGTAACTTTTTGAGGAGCCTCAAAATTTATTCCCTCTCAAATACTTCCAATACGTATATTGGTTCATGTTCTAGTGCAAACCTGAGGCCTTGTTGAGTCTATTAAACGGATATTGTCAACTCATTAAGTGGCTTTGCATGGTTTTATATTGCAAACTTCATGCTCATTCTGTTGTCTCTGCCGTTCTCGTATAGTCACATACTCACATGGTATTTATTATTTAATTCCTTCAGACTATAGTGCGGCAATCTTCAGAGCCTTTTGATTTTATAAGGACTTTACGCATGGCGGGATATGGGATGATCATTTTAGGACCATCACTGCATTTCTGGTTCAATTTTATGTCAAAGCTTTTCCCAAGGAGGGATCTTTTCTCTACATTGAAGAAAATGGTCATGGGTCAGACACTTTATGGACCTGCCATGACTGTTCTTTTCTTCTCCCTAAATGCACGTTTGCAGGGTATGTCCAATTCTCTTATCATAATATTTATTACGCAATTTCCTTTTGTACATGTTTTTTTCTTTTCCTTTGCTTACTTTTTTTTTTTATTTGGTTGTTGTGGGTTGGGGGGTCTTGATATTCTTATTCTTCAATTTGTTTGGCTTTGTATTTCAAATTATAATACTAACTAGTGTGGATTGCAACAGACAAGGTCAAAGGTTCAGGATGTTGATAATGTAATTACATAATTGATAAAATATTGATTCCATTTTTAAACCAAAAAGGTTGAAGCGGGCGACTAGATTAGAAATTATGTTATATTAGTTTGTTTTCTATGTTTTTGAATCTTTAACTTCTTACTGCCATGTCTAAAATGACGGGGGAGCCTTGGCACAATGGTTGATGTTATTGCCATATAACCCAGAGGTCACAAGTTCAAATCATGCAATCAGCCTCATCGGCTGCCTACTACCGCAATGGGTCTGACCCTTCCCTGACCTTGTGCTTAGCAGGAGTTTTATAGCACCCGGTTGCCCTTTGCCATCTATAAAATACACCTATTCTTGCAAGTTTAAAATGCTACACAGCATTGTTGTGGGCCTTGTGGCTTTTTTCTATTTAAATATCTAATGATATGAATATTTGGTTTTCCTTTAACAATATAAGCCAACTTTTAAGATGCAGGGAAGATGCCTTGCACATGCATCTTGATTAATGATGTGTTGCAAAGGGTCCATGTGCTGTTATTAGATGGCACTTTACCTTGCATATAATTTTTTTTTTCCTTCTGTGTGTGTGTGTGTGTTTTATCCATGTGTCCATTGTTTCATGCATTCAGGTGTTTCTATACGTGTTTGTGCATTAAACATTTAATATGCAAAAGGCTCTAACTTTTCTTACTTAAGTGAGGGGGAAGCAATGGAAGGGAATAAAAAAGGGGAAGGGAAAGAAGGGGATGGAGGGGGAGTTATTTCCCCTTTTTCATATGTTCAAGTGAGGGAAATAGGAAATTAAGAGTTATTCCTTCTATTTTAATTTAGAATAAAGCCTTTCCCCCTCCTTACCCCCTAATTTGAGGGGGTGGGAGGAGGAACACTTCTCCCTCATTCCCCATCCTTTCCCCTCACTAAAGAACCAACAAAACAAGTTTTTGAATCACTTTTCTCTTCCCTTCCTTTTCCTTATCCTCCTTTCTAATCATCCAAACATAACATTATTGAAGATGGGAAGAAAAGTTTGACAGCTGAGGTGGGAGTGAAGTGGATTGTAGACATAGTCATATAGAGCAGAATTTTGTTGGGTTCACAACTTATCTATATTTAGTGGACAAAACCTTTGTGCTGGACACTTTACAATTTACACGAGTTTCAATTTTTTTTTTACAAAATTGTGTCTCAAAAGTCAAAACCATTTCATATTTGATTTTCGGTTTAATTGTTTTAAGTTTATGATATGTTAAACTGTTTTCCTTGGTTACCAGGTGAAAACGGCACACAGATTGTTGCACGTTTGAAGCGTGATTTGCTTCCCACGATGTTAAATGGAATTATGTACTGGCCTATATGTGATTTTATTACATTTAGATTTATTCCTGTCCATTTACAGGTATGTGCTTATTTCTTCTTTCCTTTCTTGTCTTACAGTATGGCATGAAAATAAAGTTTGGATGATGCATGGCATGTCTCACTATAAATAGCCCAAAAGATTTCCATTCTTCTTTTGTGAGACTTTCGTTGTTAACTCATGATTTTCTGACTTCATTGATTTTGACAGCCATTAGTCAGCAATTCATTTTCGTACTTGTGGACCGTTTATATGACCTATATGGCAAGCCTAGAGAAAGCAGAGGCAGCTAGCTGATCAATGTTAGCAGTGTCAATTCTTGTTTCATGATTGAGATTTGGACTGACTGTAGAGTTTATCTGGAAACTTCGGTATACGAACAAATCTTTTGGGTGTCTGCAGGGATTCTGATCTCACCTTATCCATGGCTATACTATTAATATGAACACTCAATTTCATCCGCTTTTTAACCTATATTCCTTATATTTGCTTTGGTTGTGTAACCCTTTTTCTTATACGAGGGACCAATTTGTAGAGATTTTGTTATTGAAGACATTTTTTTAATAAGAAATTTTATTTGATATTTTATATCCGTCGAGGTAAAGGATGTCTGTCGCAGATCAAAGTCCAACTGAATCTGTACGCGTAATGCTCAAGTCTTTTTCTTGAGTAATACTATATCATCCTAACACCTAAACATTAGTATTAATTACCAGTGCATTTGAAATTATGTTTGCACTGAGACTTTTATATATATATATAGCAAGATGTTTTTCAATGGATTCCGTGAGAACATGTAAGGAGTGTATTTGTAAATCTGTACAAATATCGTTATCCAGTAAACTTTGTAAACACAGCGTAACCTAGTCTCATAAAGGATTACTGATACCGGTATGAACAAGCAGCTTTTTGAAATCAGTAAACGTGTTGACCCGAGGGAAGTTATCTCGGAACAGAATAACCAATTTCAGAAATTGAATTGCTTGGCATAGAATATGGATGCCATAAGGCTAACGTTAATCAACATCATGATCAGGTTAGTGCCCGACTCAAATCAAGCTAGTCGAATAATTGATAAACCAATAAATATTAAAAAAAAAAAGACAAAATCAAATCCTAAACCTGTTGTATAATATAGTTTACCACCCATAGCTAAGGTTTAGCACTCAGAATGCAACACTGCTTTATTACAATGAAAATTCGTTGAACTAAAACAAGTAAAAGGGAAAAGAAATGAAGATAGAAACAAGAAAAAGAACTGGATATCATTTACGAATGGTGTTACACTCATGAAACAATGAACTTCTTAATCCAATGTAGAGGTTCACATATTTTTGTATTAACAGGACCCACTCCCTAACAATCATCAATCTCTATATCTAAAATGCTGTAGTTTATTCTGTTTTCGCAATTTTGTGACTTCAGGATAAGAGAAAAATCCAAAGTTATGTCAGCTGAAGTAAACAGTTCAACGTTCAAAGTTTTCAACAAATGTGGGGAAACTAACTCCTGCCTCTGATTTCATCTAATAGTAAATTTCTGATCTAATGATAACAAAGGCTTCATTCTTCAGAAGCACTTATGCAAATCTTCTCAAGCTGTATGGGCCAATCTGGTCCAAGAACTTGTGGATTTAATTCCATTGCAACACGAAAATCGAAGACAGATGCGCCAGCAGGTTTTGTTGTTTGCATATATCTTCCAGGTAGTAATACATTTGAACCAGTTACAGACTGTCCATTTCTTTGACCTAGGTGCTCGTTTCCAAATCTTGACCCAGCCAAATCCATAGAGGATTCAATCAACCTCTTCAGATATGAATCCAGTGCATTATTCAATAGGTTTACACAATCCATTGTCACAGTTAAACCCTCCTTCTCCAACTTTTGCTCCAAACGACTCCTCAAAGATCTTGTGTCAGGGAGATCTCCGTTGCTGTGACAGGTCTCTGGATAATATTTGCTACATAATGACACATTAGAATGCAGTCTACGACTACAACCAAAATTCATGGATATACCAAGAGGAGCAGTAACTGGACTTCTACTTTGGATGCTGGGGCTTCCAGCCATCTGTTCAACCTCTTCTCCTTCTTCAACAGAAATAGGAGGTCTACTGCCAAGGGAATTCAGTTCTGTTGCACTCTGCTGCTCTTGTGTCTTACATATCAATTCTTCAGATGCAAGACTTTGGGGCTTGCCCAGTGGCCCCAAAGCATTTTGGCGGCTCTTAAACTTGCGGGCTCGAGCAACCAAAGAGCCACCCCTCCGCAAGGATGGAGGAAGTGTGTCCCCATTCGGTGTTTGAATAGAGCTTCTCTGCTTCCCATTTGAATCTTTTACACTGCAGGGACTCCCTATTCTTGCAGAGCCCCTCAAAGGTGGGACTTTAGACAGACAAGCATTCTTGAGAATTGCCCTAATGAATTGATTGTGAAGAGGGATATTTTCCCTCCCAATTGTCACAAGGCAAATCCTGTCAAACTCAGACTTGCTTATCTTTGAACTCAATAATCTTCCAAGCTGATCAAAGTACTTGTCAGCTCTCTGATGACCAACCTTCCGAACAATCAAAGCTTTGAGCTTCAAAGTGTCAATTCGAGTATAACTTATCTTCATTTTACCCAATTCTCTCACAATCACTGAGCCGACATGTAAATCATAATCTCAGATTCTCCAATTTGATCCAAAAACAAAAGCTTCCTTAAACCCTAATTCCCCAACAATGTCTTTATCTGCAATTCATCAAGGTTTCAATCAGAAATCACCGTCGAATTGAACCATTCATTGATCAGATTAACAATTAAGAGGATAATTGCTGAGAAAGAGAGAGCACCCGCGTTTGGGCAAAATTGAACAATAAAACAAATTTGGCAAAATTGAAGCAGCGATTATCGAAGAAGAAAGAAAACCCTCGCGAGATTTTGAAGGAAGTTGGGAAATTTAATTAAGTTAGGGAAAAGAAAGATTCGTACCAAAAAGGGTGGGCACCGATCTGGAATTGACTATGAAGTTGGACCTTGGAAGTTTTGCCTGCCCCAATTGCTATTTTGGCGTCGTGTGTTTCTGATTGCAAATGATATGATCTGATATCAGATGAGAGAGACAGAGAGAGAGAAAGAGAGACCAAACCCTAACAGAAATGGATTCATGAAAGAACAGTAACCTTTTTCCAACATCCCAATCCCGACCCTGTGCTCTTCGTTTTGCTCTATTACATTCTCCGTCCAAATTGGTATATTTTACTTCTCTTTTTTATTTTTTAAAATAGTTTTTTATTTTATTCTATCATTTCTTAGTTTTCTTATAGAAATTTACACATAGTCGGAAAGATCAAACAATTAAGGGTGTGCATGACAACCATTCTATTCCCTAGCACTGTTTCTGAAAAGAAACAATTATTTTCTATTTCTATGCCTTGGAACAGTTTCTGAGAAAAAAATGTGTTTGATAACATGTTCTATTTTTATTCCGAGAATGAGAATTACAACAAATAATATAATAAAAAATAATTCTTATTAAATATAAAAAAATTTCGGATCATCACTTTCCTTTTCATATGGTGTGGTTGTGGTGGTGGTGGCGGCGATACGGTAGTGGTGGTGGCAGTGACATGGTAAAGATAGTGGTAGTGGTTTTGACGCAGTGGTTGCGACAATGACGACGGTAATGATGGCGGTGGCGGCGGTAGTGGTTGGGATGGTGGTGGTGGAGGTGACGACAGTGGCTGCGACAATGGTGGTTGGTGGCGGCAACAATGGTAGCAGTGACACGGTGGTGGTGATTGTGAAGGCATCATGGTAGTGGTGGTGACGATGATGGCTATGACGATGATGGTGGTGGTTGGTGACGTCGACGGCAGTGGGGGTGACGGCAGTGGTTGCGGCAATAGTAGTGGTGGTTGGTGACAGTGGTGGTGATGGTAGTGGTGGCGTCGTGGTGATGGTAGCGATGGGGTGGTGGCGGTGGCATGTGATGGCGATGGTGGCGGTGACGACAGTGGTTGCAATAATGGTGATAGTGGTTGATGGCAGTAGTGGTGATGGTGGTAGTGGTGGTGGCAGCGATGGTAGTTTGGTGGTGGTGACAGTGGTATGGTGGTAGTGATGGGTGGAGGTGGTGGTAATGGTGGAGGTGACATCGTGGTGGTGAGGGGTGGTGACTACGACACTAGTGGTGATGATGGTAGAGGTGGAGAGTGATTGAGAGAGATAAGTGTTTCTCATTTTGTGCCTGGGAACAAAAAAGCAGAAATTTTTTTATTTTTTTTTTCTGTTCCCCAGCACAAAAATTACGGTTCATCCCGGGAACAAAAAAATAAACCGATTTTATCAAACGAGGTTTCTATCCATTTCTGTTCCCGAGAACAGAAATTAAAAAAGAATTAATTCCGGGAAGGTTGTCATGCACACCCTAAATCATGTTTAAGCATAAGTTATATTTATTATTATTTTTTACTATCAAATTTTAACTATTAATTTTTATCAATCTAATTATTATAATTTATTATGTCATATTTATTAATTTTAATAAATTATAATTGTTAGATTCACATAAATCAACAGTTAAGATTTGATAATAAGATATAATAAGAAAAAAAGTAATAAGTATAACTTTCTCCTATCATATATGTTACTAGTAAGCTATATTTTTTTGTATATAAGTAAGAATTTAACACATAATCTAATATAATTTATCTAAATACCTTACCACTAGATGAATATTAGTGGCTTTGTTATTAAACTATGAGTGTATTTATTTTGAAATTAACCAAAAATTATTATACAAATAACAAAATAACGCGACTATTTGTTTTGAGAATAATGAAATTTCTTGCTCGATAATTAATATAAAGTGATGTTAAGTTTTTTAATAGTGTAAACTTGGTAATTTTTAATAATATAAAAAAATAATTCTTAATTAAATAAAAAACTTGAAACGAAATAACATTTTTGATAGAGTGCGAAAAAAAAAGAAAAGAGTGAGTTTTCGAAGGCCAAGTGCAATGAGTTATAAGCCCAAAGACAGATGGAGGATAACTTGGACCTGGATTTAGCCCAATTAATATGGACTGCTCCATAAAACCCAAGAAAAATAGAAAACCCTAATTTGAGTTTCTATATAATTCGATATTAGGAGGCTTCATAGATTCTCCTATTGCACATTCTTCAGCGACTGCGCTTTCGATCTTGGTAGACGAGAAAAATCGAATCATAGCAAATGGGACACTCCAACGTTTGGAACGCTCATCCTAAGAACTATGGTCCTGGTTCTCGCACTTGGTATGTTACAGATTCAATTCTCGTTTCTCATTGTTTTTGGGATTATTTCTTGTCAGTCTCATGTTAAAGTCTTTCGATTTTTTTATTTATTTAATTGTTCTTTTGATCCTACATATGAGACGGTTGAATAGTTACTCTGACTGTTGCTATTTTTCTTTGTGCTCCTTTTGTTTCGGGTTATATAATAATGTTAGGCAAATCACTCTTTAGATGATTATGGTTAGGTTAGATGAATCATGCTATGCGTAAGCATATGTTTTGGAGATTTCCTGTTACAAATTTGTTTTTTTAATTCGGGTGTTTCCCTTTCTTTTCACATTACGTAGTTTGATGCCAAAGCTGTACCATAAATCTGATGATATTTTATAGCATATGGGAAAAGCTAACCTTTCCTATGTATTGGTTTGATCCGTGTAACCAACCCCATCTAGTGGATAAGGCTTTGGTTGTTGTTGTATAATTAGTACTGAATGAACATGCGAGTTTTGGTCTATTATATTTTAGATATATCAGAAAATCTGTGGATGATTGGTTTAAAGTTGTTGGGTGTTTGGTGTATAGTTTGTTGCTTGTACTTGTTACATTTTAATTGTTCTGATGAACTTTGCTAATTTTGATTGTTGTTTCCTGCTCTCCCCTTCGTTGCAGCCGTGTGTGTGGGAACCCACATGGATTGATTAGGAAGTACGGTCTTATGTGCTGCAGGCAGTGCTTCCGTAGCAATGCCAAGGAAATTGGCTTCATTAAGGTAAACCTTTGGATCTGCTTTCCCAATTGCAGTCTGCTAACTAATCCAATATGAATTTCTCTGTATCTCTCTCTCTCTCTTTTTATGCTGTGTGGATAGGTTTGTTTGCTGCTGTGAGTCATATATTGTCTTACCATGGGTTCTCATGACTTTTTTCCTTTCTTTTTGCAGTATCGCTAAATGGCTATTGTTACCTGCCCAATCTATTTTAGGTTCTCGCGTTAGGATGTTATGAGGATATTATGTTTGAAGAAACTTGAGACTTGATTTTGGCATGTAGTTGATTATCAGACTTGATTTGTGGAACTAAGATTTTTATATGAATTGTTTTGGACTATTGAATGCCCTACAACTGAACCTTTAATCGTTCTGTAGTCTGTACGTGCGTGGGACACTGGTCTATGCAGCCTTGCATTTGCAACCCTGTGTCGTTTTTTTTTTTCATTTTTTGGGGTTTAGTTGTATTCTATTAGAATTATATGTGACTTGGTTGAATTGTCGCTTGCCCTTCTCAAAACATTAAAGCTTTATGGGGGAAGCATTGTCGTCATTGTTATTGTAGGGCAAAATTGAAAATAAGAGTGCGTGCCCTTTACAATTGATTTCATAGGTTAACAAAAAGTTTAAAAGCTATAAAATCATTTACTCTATGTAGTCTTTGCAAGTCATCTAATCTTTTCAACTTCATTTTCATATAGGTAACGCTAATTAATAATATTGTATCTTGCGATTTCATGTGATAATAAATACCGAAATGATAGGCAGAAAGTTTATGGTTGAATGATACAGTAGCATAGCAGCTGCAATCAATTTTTGGTTCGAACGGTTTTGTCAAACTCTTCAGAATCATTACTTAATTCACATGGTATTACTTTTTTTTTAGTAAATGTTCTTTGATGACAATTATTTAAAAAAGAGAAATAAAATAAGGAATTATGTAATTTGTAAATCTTATTTTTATAAACGTCTTACAGTTTAGTGCTCTTGTTAGTTTAGGGTGAGAATTAACCTTCTCTATATACTTCTAGACTCTCATTCATAGTAGTATTCGTTAGGTCAAAATGCACCATATATTTTTGAAACTGGGTGATGTGCTAGCTATAAAGAAAAAAAAATATATATGCATGTACCAATTTTGATAAGAGTATAGAGAATTGCATTGCAACCCTTGGTCGTCTCGTGGTAACAAGTTAAGACCGCCACCGGTGTTTTGATTACATGATGCCTGCAGGGGATGCGACACAGAGCCACAGGAAAGAAGTACAAAATCTATGTTAGCTGCTTTATTAAGTTTTACCAACCACTAATGCTGAGCTCTAAATTTCTTCCTCTTGAAGGCATCTCAGCATCTTACCTCTTTGATAATTATTTTCATGCATGAATTCCTCACCTGCCCTTCTCGAATATTATATTATTTCTTATTCTGGACTTTCTCTCGTCAACATCACTACTTTTACCGTGTATCCATGGAAGATCATGATCTGTGCAAAACTCAACAAATTAGCTGAGCAAATAAAAAGATCTTTATAATGTTACCAAACGCGTATGGGACAAAGGTTGCGACTAGGGTGTGTCTAGAAACAGATTGTAACAGCCTCAGATCTTGTAGCATGATATTGTCCGCTTTGCCCCGCGCACAAGCACCGTCGAGCTCACGGTTTTGTTTCTTGGGACACCCCAAAAAAGGCCTCACACTAGAAGAGGTATCCACACCCTTATAAGGCATGCTTCGTTCCCCTCTCCAACCGATGTGGGACATTACATCCTCCCCCACTGGGAATACAGCGTCCCCGCTGTACACACCGGTCCAGGGCCAGGCTCTGATACCAAATGTAACAACCTCAAACCCTGTAGCATGATATTGTCCGCTTTGCCCCGCGCACAAGCACCGTCGAGCTCACGGTTTTGTTTCTTGGGACACCCCACAAAAGGCCTCACACTAGAAGAGGTATCCACACCCTTATAAGGCATGCTTCGTTCCCCTCTCCAACCGATGTGGGACATTACATCAAATGTAACAGCCCCAAACCCTGTAGCATGATATTGTCCGCTTTGCCCCGCGCACAAGCACCGTCGAGCTCACGGTTTTGTTTCTTGGGACACCCCACAAAAGGCCTCACACTAGAAGAGGTATCCACACCCTTATAAGGCATGCTTTGTTCCCCTCTCCAACCGATGTGGGACATTACATCCTCCCCCACTGAGAATACAACGTCCCCGCTGTACACACCGGTCCAGGGCCAGGCTCTGATACCAAAATGTAACAGCCCCAAACCATGTAGCATGATATTGTCCGCTTTGCCCCGCGCATAAGCACCGTCGAGCTCACGGTTTTGTTTCTTGGGACACCCCACAAAAGGCCTCACACTAGAAGAGGTATCCACACCCTTATAAGGCATGCTTCGTTCCCCTCTCCAACCGATGTGGGACATTACACAGATTGGCAGAATCAAACTATATCTATGACAAAGAATGGGCCAGACTACTAAATTTCTACCCTCAATACTAAATTGGCATTGAAAAATAACCTACAAGCAGATAATATTACTATATAAGCTACCGTGCCTTGAGTTTTTTGAAATCTTTTATCTATCACTCTGTCATACAAATCAAATAGAAAAAATGCTTGGATATATGGCTTTCTTTCTTTTTTGTATAACGGATACATGGCTTTCTTATATAAGATTATAAGCAACATCACAAGAGGTGACCTCTTAAATCGTAATGCTCAACTTTTTAGAAGAATATTTCGTTATACAAGGGTATATGGCTATCACTTTTGTGATCTCTTTTTCCTAACAAGAATTTTACTGTTTTACAGATTATGAGAACTGAGCTTTTGGCTGAAGTTTATGCTGAGTTTGATAATCAAAGATCGATAAATTTTCTGCATTAGACTCTGCTTTAAGATAGGAAGAGAAGGGGGGACGTAAGGCTCCTTGTATAGATTGCTTATTTTGTAAGGTGATTAGCGTAACTATTAATAAATAATGGCATCAGCGATGGGGAGTGAATAAAAAGATAACATTTTATTTAAACAAAATCCAAAAACTCTCCAAAATAAAAATAAAAAATGAGTGAAAATAATTAGTGCATTAAAAGGAGTAAAGATATATAAGCTCAATTTTAGCGATATTTAATTTTGTATTTTTAAAATTAGATGTGATATATCATAAAAAATTGTTGATAATATACCCAACCAACAAATTGCGAATTCATTATTAATTAGTATGATCGATCCAGTCGGAATAATTAAGAATTCCGAATTGAAAAAAAAAGACTTTCATTGTGATGTCAAATGTAATCATCCTTCAAAGTAAGAAGGAATATTTTGGTATTAACTTAAGCCATAAAATAGGAACTAACATAAAATGGGGTTCTTTGATTACTCAAAGCTTTAGCTCAACAAATCAAATATCAAGAATCTTGAATCTTTGGCTTGAAGGATTATTAACCCCAACGTAATATAATAATGATAATATTTTGGAGCATGCAGAATAGCCGCCAATGCAGACACCAAAGTTGTGTATCACATTTTTTTTCCCCTGTTGATAAATAATCACGCACTTTCCTTTGTGGGGTTGAGGTGGAAAGGAGAAGCAAAGTTGGAAAGTTATGGGACAGGGGCAAAATTATTACCTTAAGCCCATAATCTCTTCCGAAGCAAAGTTGATTAATACCTTATAAACGGACATCTTTTAGTGGGTGCTTACTTTTTAACCAATTATTCCATTGAGTGTAACTTAAGTTACATGCCTTCAAAGAATTATGCCTTTCTCATCATTCCATGATACATTTGCCATGGATTCGTTAATCAAACAGTATTACCATATGTTTTGTCTTCTAATGCTGAATAGGAAATTACAATCAGTAAATTGTTGAATAATAACTGAAGTAATGTTCATCGTAGATAATTTATAATTATGAACCAGTAGTTTTATAGCTAATATTATTTGGCAATGAGCAATCTTACTCTGCACAAAATAAGTAAGAAACTCAGTGACTGAGCAATCAAGTGTCCTTCAATAGTGAAGTAGCTAGTTGTGGTGGATAATCATGTTGGTCTAACCAATTGTTAGTTAACTGCAACCAAATGAAGAATTTAACCAACAAGCCCCAAGTACTCAGTTTGTTTTAAGTTCTACAGCTTATAGGATACCCTCGGAACTACTTTGAATAGAGTTGTCGCTAGTAGGGGTGTCAATATGGGTTTTGACATGCGGGTCGACCCGCGACACGACACGAAAATTCGTGTTCGGGTTGACCCGTAAAAAAATTCGTGTCGTGTTCGTGTTGGAAAAAATGACACGCAAAAAATTCGTGTCGTGTTCGTGTTTATGAATTCGTGTTCGTGTCGACCCGTATTATTTTTAATTTTAATTTTTTTTATTTTTTAATTTTTTATTTATTTTCGATCTATTTTTTTAATTTTTTTGTCAATTACCGTTTTGTTCCCTATTTTGCGTGTTATTCGTGTCGTGTCAACCCGCAAAAAATTCGTGTCGTGTCAGCGTTGAAGATTTTGACACGAATGAAAATTCGTGTCGTGTTCATGTTGATGTATTCGTGTCGTGTCAAATTCGTGTCGTGTCAACCTATATTGACACCCCTAGTCGCTAGGCCTGGGTAGATGCAAAAGTAATTAATGGTTATGATACCACATTATCCCAATCTATAGCACACATTTTTCATACAAAGGAATAAAAGACATTTTGTGAGTAAAATTAGAATATTATGGCTCAATATAGATCAAGATTTGAAATATTATGCAATTTCTTAGTTTTTTTTTTTTTTTTTTTTATTAACTATTACCTTAGAAGTTTCATAATCTTAAATATTGTACTTTTGTGGCATAGCTGTAGAGTTCAACCTTGGTTTTTCAATTACTTTAAAGACATCCTAAGTAGAAGAATTACTGTGAGTCTGTGACAACAGTAAAGAATAATTTTAATCGAGCCCCTGCTTTAAATAATGAGTGAACTACGCCGTCGGCCTAGGAAATAGTCACAATCTTAAATATATATTGTTCTTGAACACAATAGGTGATATTAAAAATTACTAGGAGGTTTGAATTCATGTATAAAATAGATGAAATTATTAATCATGAACACAATATGCGGAATAGTAGAAGAAATTTGAGCCCACAGAAAGTGCATCCTTAAGACAATTTGCCTCTGATGTCGAAAGTTGATGGACATTTGTCTCTTAGGATAGAAAGGATTGCGTCTGAAGATTGGTGACACTACCAGTCAACAGCCTGAACAAACACAACAAGATGCCAGAGGAATAAAACTGAAAAAGGAGCAAACCGGATTAAGGAAAAAATTCGGTAGAGTAGCAATGCAGAAAACTGGATAAAATTTCTGAAGGGGTCAGGGTCTATATATAGACACTGACCGGTCACGATGAACCAACATTTAGAAAACCGGTGGAAAGAAACGTTTAAAATTCTGGATTTCGGTTTTTTTATTCTTTCTTAGTTGCATGTCCTTATTTGTCTCTTGGTTCAATATATATATTAGGAGTAAATACCCTTGTAACTCCCTAGCAAAAAACTTGGTCCCCATTTTAGTCCCTTACAAAAAAAAAAAAAATAGTCTCAAGGTCCCTAAAAAATTTAAAGTGGATCAATTTAATTAAAATCGTGGTCCCTCACAAATTCAAAAAAGACCTACATTAGTCCCTCAAAAAGACTAAAATGGATCCATTTTGAATTTCATAGGGACCAGGTGACTAATTTTATTTTATAATAGACTAAAGTGGGGACCGAATTTTTTGTTAGGGGGAAAAATAATTGGTCAAACTATTGGCTATTCCTGGGTCCGCCACTGCCTGCAGCGCGCGTGTGATGGACCAAAGGCCACCCACCTAGCTCCCCTCCACAAAAGTATAGTGCCCCAAGGGACAATTTAGGAGTGTGAGGTAGAAGCTTATAAACTCTCTCACCTCTTACTAGTTGTCCAATGTGAGTCTTCTTTCCCTCTTTTCTTTTCTTCCTTAACTCACTTCTTATTGATTACCCATAGAATTTGAATGTAAATTCCAACATATGTAAAACACAAGATGCTTTCATATCAAACTAAAAGCAAGCACATTGGTGCAAAAAAAATTCAATACTACCGTCCTAGGTACATCCGGCCAATAAAAATGTGCCACGTTAACTTGTATGATATCAAAAAGAGAAAAAAAAAACTGTTTTTATATTTTACACTATGTTTTACGGTAACATATAGTGTAAAATACATTGTCGCATCCAATTTTCGGTGTGACGATAATCAAGGGCGGAGACAGGGGGAGGCTAGGGTGGGCGGCCGCCCCCTTCCCCCCCAAAAAAATTGAAAAAATAAATTAATGCAGTTGAAGGCCAAACATAGTATTATTGTTACTGTTAAATGTGCTTCTTTTGGAAGTTCTGGTTTGAGATCCAAGTTGAAATCTATCTCCACTTCACCTAATATGTGTGTTATGTGTAATCTTTTCTTCATTTTCTTTTTTATTTTCATATGCTATGTTTTGGTTAATGAAAGATTTGGCCTTTTTGTCACCATTTTGCTCTCTTTTCATTTGCATAGTTGTGTTTTTCTTTGTGCAGTGGTTTCATATAGAGAAAATGTGTTTGCTCTAACTTAAAAGATTCACTTTTGGGTCAACTTGGTTGCAATCTTTTATTTTATTTTTTTAAAAAAATGTAGTTAAAAGCATTGTCTTAGTTAAGGCACTCTTTTTTTTAATTATTGCTTTAAACTATTTTTTATGTCCGTTGGACCTGATCAATAGTATATTTTTTTCAGTCTTTTAAATGTTATTAAATGTTAATATTTTGGTAAGAAATTACCTAATTGAGTTCCTATGAGATCAATAGGGAAAAAAAAAATATTGATATTATGCAAGACAAAAAAATTAATTTTCACCCCTCCTTCCTTCCGTTGCTGGCTCCGCCACTGACGGTAATACTTAGGGAAAAAAAAAAGAGCTTTTCAAGTATTTGGAAGATTTTACGCCACCCATTATCGTTTATCTAAATTGAATGCTTAAATTGAATCTCTCTTTTTTCTTTTTGTTTTTATTTCATACATAAAGAAGAAAGCTAGATGAGAACCGAAGTTTGGAGAAAACGGAGAATAAATTGGAGGATGTTGATATTATGAAAAGAGAAGCGTTTAAAGCCTGCAATGAATGGTGTAGATGGAGAGGGACAGAAAGAGATGCGGCACCTTAATCTAGTTATAATAATAAATTGATTATAGCTTAGCTTGCAAAAATCACAATTAGGCAACATTGCCTTTCTGGTTGATAATGTCTAAAGCTTTTTTGGGCATTCATTGCTTTAGAGCTCCTTTCATGAAGGTTAGCTCACTCATCTCCTTCCCAATCAAGTAATCTATCTATCTCTGTCACTAGGAATGGCAAACCTCTGCATATACTGTATACACACATTATTATTATATAATATATAAATACAATTTATACACGTGAAAGCCGGAAGCATCATAGTCTTGTTCGGTGATGAAGTACTTCTTGTATTCTTGTTTATGAAAATTAGACACTCTACTGCTTAATTAATATTTCACACCAGCCTGAAAGAGACAACCATCTAGTACTTATGGCCGAAATAGCTAAATTAACACACTTTAATAATTTTTAGTGCTACCTTATAATTTTAGAAAAATATTATTTTTTTAGACTTAAACACGTGACCTTCCTATCCTAAAGAGCAAATAATAAGTCAAGAAAATATGACTGTTGTATTTCTAATAACCTAACGAATATTTGAGAGTAATTTGTGTATACATAAATACATGTAACTGTTGTATTTTCTTTATCCGGGTGCTTGTAGCTATGGAAAGGCATCATCATTCGTCACAATCGCTTAGTTGAACAACATTAATGTTATGTTTGGTGAGAAGGAAACAGAAGAAAAAAGAAATATCTAATGTATCTAAGTCTAATTATATGGCCAACTTGCTTTCTTTGTTTTCAAATCTCTCCTACCAAATACTGTTTGAAATGCCAAGCTACTAACTAAACTGAGAATTCCAAGAGAAAAAAGATCATTTTAATGAAGGGAAATAGTTTTACCATTTTATAAGAGAAATGTTTTTCATGCTACACTCATAATACATGAATGAATCCTATCGTAATTTTTTTGTCTTCTCATTTTTTTGTGGATCCCACTCAAATATTGTGATTGTAGTATGAAAAAATTTCCTTATATAAAATGAAAAAATTAATTTCCTTTAATGAATCTCCAACAAAAAGATAAATTGATGCAATATCGATTTATGAAAGAGATGTTAACTAATCCTTATGTAACTAAATGGCCAAAGAATCCATCAACCGGTCAGAATTTATGAAATCTATAATGACTTACCGACAGCAGGTTTAATTTTTTTATAATATTATTTAATTATGTGTTAAATATAAAAGAAAGTTATCATATTATTATTATTATTATTATTAATTTTGTTTAATAATGTGACAACGCATGATTGAATAATGTTGTTTTTAATACAATTTTTGAAACTTTGTAAAGAACTTTTCATTATGAAACTGCTTACTTTACTCTATTATTTTATTTCTGATAGAATGATAGTAATTTTTCCCCCCTCCGTTTTCCCTTCCTTTTGAGTAAAATTATAGTTTTCTTTCTCTTCTTTTTCTTTTTCTTTGCACTTTTTCTTTTTTCCTTCCTTTCAAGTAAATGGTATTGACAAATTTAAACCTTAGAAACTACATAAGTGCATTAATAGGTTATGCTTACAGAATGAAATTGCATTTTGAGTGAAGGAAAGAAAAGGAATAATAATAATAACAACAAAGCTTAGAAAAATAATAAAACGTCATTAACACAACGTTCCTCCAAAGGATCTCCAAAACCAAAATCAAAACCCAAAATGCTCACTCACCTGCGAAACACTCTACACCCTCTCTAAATCTCATACTTTTTTTGTTTTTTCACCTACTTCGTTCTCTCTCTCCCTCTCTCTCTCTAAAATCCCCCAACCAGGAGCGCTATTTCACTCACTGTTCCTATGGAATGCTGAATCTGGAGAATACCCATTTGGCAACCACTTGATCTACATGGAAAAACCTCAGATTTTTGTGTTTTGGGGGGACGAAACCCTTACTAGGGAGGCAATGTGAGGCAAAGTTTGCAGCTTTTTGTAAGGTCCTATGATGGTGGCTGCCATTACTGAAGACACATTGAGCTCGCCAAGGCAACAGTTACCTTCAGAGAAAGACAATGGCAGCATACCCAGAAGACCCAAAGGGAGGCAAGTCTCTTCAAGGTACATGTCACCTTCAACAACTTCATCAACATCATCATCATCATCAACAACAACAACAACAACAACCTCTTCTTCTTCTCGTAGATTCCCATCTCCTCTTCTCTCACACTCTACAAATTCCGCAACCCCAGTTGTGCCGAAGCGGTCCCAATCTGTGGACCGCCGGCGACCACGACCGGCCACCCCTCTTCCCGAGGCGGCGAAGCTTCTAGTAACTTCTACACGGAGCTTGTCGGTCTCCTTTCAGGGGGAGGCCTTTTCGCTTCCCATTAGCAAGACTAAGGCCTCCGCCGCGGCCGCCGCTACACCGGCTTCGAGGAAGGCGGCGACGCCGGAGCGGCGGAGGTTGACTGCTGGAAGTGTTAGAGGAGATCAGGGGGAGAACTCTCGACCGGTGGATCAGCACCGGTGGCCAGGGAGGAGCCGGCGGGTCAATGATCTTACGAGGAGTGTGGATTGTGGTAGTGGTGATAGTGATAAGAAGAAGGTTGTTGGGAATGGATATGGAAAAGTGGTTCGTGCTTTGCAGCAGTCAATGGTGGTGGAGGGTGGTGGTGGTAGAAGAAGGGCTTCTTTTGATGGGTTAGGGGGTTTGAGTTTGGATTTGGGCAAAGCTGAGTTGTTGAAGGGTGATGTCAATGTCAATGTGAATGTGAATGATTCTACCTTGCCTTGTGATCTCACTGCTTCTGATACTGATAGTGTTTCCTCTGGTAGCACTTCAGGAGCACAAGACTCTGTTGGGACTCGAAGGGAACCCCGTGGCATTACTGTTTCTGCCAGGTTTTGGCAGGAAACTAATAGCCGCCTGCGCCGCTTGCAGGATCCCGGTTCACCATTATCAACAAGCCCTTCTTCAAGAATCACTGTCCCAACAAAGAATGCTCAATTGAAAAGGTATAATACTGATGGTACAGTGTTATCCCCTCGAACTATGGCTTCTCCAATCAGGGGAAATGCGCGTCCTGCTTCGCCCAGTAAACTTTGGGCATCTGCAGCATCCTCCCCATCAAGGGGGATTCCTAGTCCTGCTAGGGTGAGAAGTACAGTTGCCAGCTCCATCAATAGTAATTCTAGTAATACACCTTCAATTCTTAGCTTCTCTGCTGATGTGCGGAGAGGCAAGATAGGGGAAGATCGAATATTTGATGCGCATACCTTGAGGCTTCTGTATAACCGGTATGTACAGTGGCGATTTGTTAATGCAAGGGCCGATGCTACCTTTATGGTGCAGAAACTGAATGCAGAGGTATGGTTTGTTAGGTATCAAGTCACCATTTTTTATATTATAGTTCTTTTTACTTGTAATTGATATGATATCCCTAATTGTTTAATAATTGTGTGGTTGAATGCTGATATATTTTAGCGTGTTTTGTGTAATGATTTAGATTAATGGGATCTTCACCATACTTATAACATTCAATATGATGTGTTTTGAAATTATAAAGATTTAGGTGGGGAAGGAAACAGAGAATAAAGATCGGATAATATGAAATTGGTATTGCTAGAAGGAGGTGCAGTAGGACTGGCTTGCCGATAGTGAGTCACAACGAGGAGAAAACAATCATTGTGCTGTGGGTACGACGGGTTTGGAAAGGGTGCAGTGGGTTTAGGGATTGTAGAGAGAGATGAGAAGAAAAGAATCATTAAGATAATAACATCATTACATTAGGGTTTCAGATTTTAAGAAACTCGATGGTGGAATAATGACGGGACAGATCACAAAGGATGGTACCTCTCTTCTTATACCATGTTAAAATCCTTTGCTAGAAGTTTAGGATGCTAAGGTCTTAAGGTGAATGATGAATGGTGATGCCTCATTTTCGAGGAAATATGCTATGTTTCAAGATGCAGATTGACTAAGATGATGAAACTCATTATGCATTTTTTGAATTTATCATCTAAACCTGGAAAGTGTAGATAGTATTTCTCATCCTGGTTCCTTGCTCGTAAGTACTTAGGATTTCAAAAAATTTAACCATTGTGTAGTATTCTTCTAAATTCTAATTGTGGATAATGGCAAGCTCATCAAGGAAAGGTGTAGACTGTAAATAAAGATTACCGAGGAGTTCTGCAAAACTTCTAGCATAATGTTCTATTCAAAATATCTTCAGAAAACATTTATGAGGGCTGTTCGTGGTTTATGTATTGACTTAAGAATCACACTGACTTCAGAAGTATGTTCAGAGAACTTCTTTTTGCCTTGTTGTGACCCAGAAATTATCCTATTGGTAGTGACCTAATGAGGATGCTGTATAGTGAAAAGTTGTAGTGTAGAAATTTACAAGTAGCGCTGTCCCATATTTGGCTCAAGTTTACAGCTAGTTACAAATAGAAATTTCCAAGAAGTGATTCAGATGGAAATGTAAACACTTAAACCTTCTATCCATTTGGAGGAAAAAAAATCCATTACATGCAGGGTCGAGGAATGTGTCGAATGCCCATGCACTTAAGGGCCCGTTTGGATGGGCTTTTTTTTCTTCAAAAGTTGTTTTCTTAAGGGAAAAACAGCATGAAAAAAAACAATTCTCACTTTAAGTTCGTTTGGATGTCTACTTTAAAAAAAAAACAGAAGTCACAAAAAAAGCCAAAAACCTGCTTTTTTTAGAAGCTAAAAATTTTAGCTTCTAAAAAAAGTAGAAGTTAAAAGCCAAATATTTTTTTCAAAAACTAAATATTTTTATAAAAATTTAAATAGCTTTAACTTTTGTAAAAAACACTTTTAAAATAAAGAAGAGATAAAAGCTACTTTTTCTAAAAGTCCAAACAAACGGCTCTAAGTATATGCACAGAAAATAGAAGTAGTTGATGGAAATGGTTTAAGTTTATTTTATGTTAGATAAATATAAAACCATTAGTTTAGCTTCATCTAATAGCTTAAGCTTTTGGGTTGAATTGGTTCTTTACATGGTATCAGAGCCTCCGTGACCAAGTGGTCACGAGTTCAATCCTCATCGCCCCCATTCTCTTAATAAAAACAATTAATTATTGTGGACTTTCTTAGCACAAGTAGGTTGGTCCTGATGCATCATCCACCCTTCGAGCCCAATGGGCTCTCGTGTGAGGGGTGTGTTAGAGAATATAAAACAATTAATTTAGCCTCACCCAACAGTTTAAGCTTTTGGGTTGAATTGGTTGTTTACACTTTAAGTAAGATTCATGGTAGCTCAGCATGACCTAATTTTTTCTTGACCTTGAGTCAGGGGTCTAACTTAGTTGACCATTTGAGTTTTTTAACGCCACTTTATAGGGTCTAGAAATCTATTGGTCTTAGTGACTGATACGAACCTTGCGAGAACCTCACCCCAAAAGCTAGCTCAAGAGCTAGGAGATCCAAGTCCATATAAACCCCATATTAGTCACCTATATAACTAATGTGGGATTCCAAGTCCCATACCTTGGAGTAGGATCGTAACATTCCACCATGCTCTGCAACTCCAGAACCCACGCGGCTTGGCTTTACACTGGTCTTTTACTAGCCTTGGGCGAACATTGCAATCCCCGCGTCACCACCCGCGTCGCTCGATTGCAATTGGGAGATATAGTAGAAGGCTCTGATATCAATTGATACAAACCTTGGGAGAATCTCACCCCAAAAGCTAGGTCAAGAGGTCGAAGAGCCCAAAGTCTATATAAAACCCACATTAATCACCCATATAACTAATGTGGGACTCTAAGTCCTATATCTTGGAGTAGGATCGTAAGAGTGACATTCAGCTATTCCATTATGATTATCTGGTTTTCGATTATGTTGACAATGTTCTGAAGTGTTTATCATGAGAGGTAGTCACACACTTCCAAAAGTTGTGTTTTCTACAGTTAGGTTTGTGCTTGCACATCTAATTTTGTGTACTGTGAAATAATTTACTTCTTCTATTCTTAGGATGACAATGGCTATGCTATCGAATGATAACAATACTACCATACGATAATTAACCGTAGGAAAATTAAATGTTTTTCATTGTTCCAGAGACATTTGTGGAATGCGTGGGTAACAATCTCAGAACTTCGGCATTCAGTCATACTTAAAAGAATCAAGCTGGTATTGCTGAGGCAAAAGTTGAAGCTAACTTCCATTCTTAAGGGACAGGTATGATTCAGAGCTTTCAAATTTAATATAATGCCTCTTATGCAATGAATGTAGCTCATGGAAGGTGATAAGCTTGATAAAATTCAAATTATATTTTTGCAACATTGCTTTTGTTTTATAAATACTTGCATGCTTGCTGATGAGCCATTTATAACTTGATTCTCAGTCTACTATTCGATAATATTTTGGCAATTCAGTATGTTGCTTACAAGTTCCAAGTATATATATATATATATATATATATATATATATACACAAAAGGACTTAATGTTATGTTTACATAAGAGTCATAGTCAACAATGCATTTGATTAGTACACTAATTATTATTATTATTATTGAAGTTTATTTTTCTTGGTCATAGATTTCTTATTTGGAAGAATGGGCCCTTCTAGATAGAGATCACTCCAGTTCTTTGCTTGGAGCAACTGAAGCTTTGAGGGCCAGTACCCTGCGTCTTCCGGTTGTTGAAAAAGCAACAGTATGTGCTACTTTTGTTTATTTTGGATACTTTGCACTATTTTAAAATAGACTGTCAAATATTAAACTGTTATTCTTTATCAGGCTGATGTACCAAATCTAAAGGATGCTTTGGGGTCAGCAGTTGATATAATGCAGTCAATGGCGTCCTCTATATACTCTCTTTCATCAAAGGTGATTTTTTTTATGTCTCCTGTATGTGCTTTTATTGAAGATGCACGTGTTCTTTTAATTGTCATCTTAGATTTGTAATGTCTGCGTGAAACCAAGATTTCTATAATTTATTTTCAGGACTTTTGTTTGATAGTTGGGATTTGAGTTAGAAGTAATACTTCGATTGATTGGTTCAGTCACTAGTCCACATTTTGTCAAGCCAGTTGAAGCCATTCTACCATAAATTGATTGTAATTATTCTTGTAATTTTTTTAGAAAAAGATCCTTGAATATTAAGTTCTTCAGAATGGATCCAAAATTAGCCATGTGACCTAACCTTTCACCTCTTTTTTTTTTTTGGTAATTACCTTTCCCCTCTTTTAACTTGGTAATGAATTGTTTTCGCCAAATAATTATCTAACCATTTAAAATATCAAATTTATCGTTTTTCATTAATATAATGAATAATGAATTGAAGAATTTTGATTCAAATTGATGTTTAATCAGAAACTTTGAATATTTCTTAAATGCAGAAACTATAAAAGCTTTACGGTCAATAGTTTGGCTGATGGACACAAAATAATATATGTGATCCTGATGTCATAATAATCAGATATTAAGTTAAAATAAAAAACATAAAAGATATCTTGGCTAATATGCATGTGTATGTATGATATCATTTCACAAGTATGGTTTTTATATTCTTTATTAAGTAGAATATATTCTTACCTATCTGTGCTTAGGCTTTGTCTATGATGCATGGACACGCTAAAAGAGGAGTCTTGTCCTTGTCTGGCTTGTACACATGACACGTTAAAAGAGGAGTTGTGACTTGTGATATTCATTTCTGCAAAAAATATTAAATTTAATATTTGACACTTGTTTGACCTTCTAAACCTTTTTTATACTTGCTACATATCTCTGTGTTGCCATCTTACGTGCCAATCTCCACCTTGTTTGCTTTAAGCTCTACTTCCTTGGAGCTAGCGCCAATTGATTGTTCAGAATTCCAATGTGGCATAACAATTGCAGTTTTTTTAACCTGGATTGAAGGTTCAAATTTATTTTTGAAAATATTGATGTATGGTTCCATGATCTATCCCTTGAATCAGAGTTAAGATGCACAATCCCATGCATTGTTGCTTATGTGGGTTCATTTCTGTAGCCACCAAATAGTTTTGCTTGTGGTGGTCAGCTTTTCCACTAATATGATGAAAATGAGCTGATCAATTGTAACAACTAAGTTCATTAGCTGGTGTGGGTTACTTGGATCAATCAACACCATTTTGCTCTAGACAACAACAACAACCAAAGCCTTTTCTCACTAGGTGGACTATTTTGCTTGATCAAAAACAAAAGTTTTCAGTAAAACCAACTGAAAGTTGTAGTCCCCAGAAAAACAAAAAACTGCTGATTAGAATCCTATTGAAACATTTGTTAATTCTGAAAAGAGTTCAGGACGACTTTGCTCAAAACCAATTGCTAAATTGTTCTTTTGGTTTCAATCATTCATGACATGGTTCATATATAGTGAGGATATGGGAATAGAGTTAAGAGATAAGCGCATATTTGCACTTCTGGTAGTATATCTAAAATTAGGAGATCCTAGCAGGTGGAAGAAACTAACTGCTTGGTGGCTGAAATCCTAAAGGTGACCTCAAAGGAAAGGTTTTTACTTGAACAATGCAAGGATTTTTTGTCCTCTTTAGCAGCCATGCAGGTAATCATGTCTTTCTGAAGCTTTCTCATTCTAATTTCTATATCAATATTCTTATTGCTATTTTGTATCTAAAAATGGCAGGTCAAGGATTGTAGCTTAAGAACACATATGTTACAACTTTCTCGCGTACCGACTTCCAGCTGCCTGACAACACATGTGTAGAACTGATCTTATCTGACAACAACTCACTCTTAATGCTAACACTACTCCCAGCCTTTTATTTTCCACGGGGTGGAGATAACACAGAAGGTAATAAGAATGGAATGAAGTTAATAGCTGGTTTTTGGTGCTCATTTGACATTTTTGAAACCCGTTATGGTCTTGTATTGTATGTCTTGTGTGTAGTATATCTTTTGTATCTGAATATTACAATTTACAAAGGAAAAAAAAAGTGGCTTTTCTCTCACTAGTTAGCTAGCTGTATACAATTACCTTGTCATTTGAGGAAAAGCGAGTGTCTATGTATATATCTATATGTAATCAACTAATCATTGTTTAGTCTGTGGCCTAGATCTTCATTTGAATCCCTAGTATATGCTCTGCTGCTTTGATTATTTTGTCATTATAGTTTTAGCAATCACAGGCATGATTTTGCATATCAGAACAATTAATTATTGACTGGGACTGTCAAATTTATAGCTGCTGGGAGAACAGATGATTGGAGATGTGTTTATTATGTTCCTCTATGTAATTGTAAATAACTGAAGCATGGTGGTGACAGCATAATAGCAAAAATGTAGTACAGAATCATCCCTTTTGCAATATCTTTCTTCCGTTTAACTGAAAAAGGCAAATATAGTCTGGTTTTCAACATGATCAAATTATGCCTTTCTGGATGATTATATCACCTTCCCATACAAAGCATCTTCTGCTTCTCTATTGTCAGATCCCTTGTGAAGTTTTTCTTGGCATTGTCCAAAGGACGAAATGAAAATGTGTAAGGGAGTAAAATACGATGAGATATTATAAACAAGTTGTTTAAACCATGATCAAGCTTAGTTTCAAAGAAGAATCGTCCAACGAATGAATAGTATGTCTATATATTTTTGTTACCAAATCAAACATGTGACTTTTAAACATTACTAAGCATGAGTGGAACTTTGGAGTGGAAAGAGCAAAGCAACAATGGCACTCCAACCATATAAGAACGCTAGGCCCATTTCGCACCACTATTGTAAGTCTCACTAACAATGCCGTCTTCTATAGGCCTAGTCCAAATAACAGTCTCATTCTGTGTTTAACTAAAAATTCCCCTCAGCCTGAGTCGTATCGGATGCAAGTTTCAATAAATAAATGAACAAGATCTCAGAAAAATAAATAAATACAAACCTAATAATCAATTTTTTCCATTTGAATTTGTTTCCTTTTTTTGCTCTTGTGAATTGTATAAATAATGGGATTTGCATTTGTCATTTAACATGGCACAATAAATTTTCTTACACACACAACATTTTGTGGGGCCCATGCCTTTTGAAGAAAAAAGGAAAAAAAAGAAATTACGGCACGCAAAAAGAATCTCTATAACATTACACAATCACTTTTCCTACAACATAACTCTTATAAAATCCATAAAGATATGGTATAAATTGCACATAACAATTTCTCTCAATAGAAAGGGAAAACATACGGTACAAAGGCAATCGGTTGATTACTCTGTAATTACTTTTAAAACTCTTCAAATGTACAATTGCTTACATGAATTATTTAACTATGCAAATGATCCCAAAACTTAAAAAGAACATCCTTCGAAATCATTATTGCTTGCATTTTACCAGGTGGTTAGTTATTAGGCTTAAAAATATTGCAACTGGCCCACACGCATTCTGTCATTAGTTAGTTTGTTGAAATAGCCCATTCATGATGAATAACAGGAAAGAAAGAGAACAAGAGAGAAAGGTACCAATACTTGATCCAATGCCTTCTCGCATAACTCAGGGACCAGTGGTCATTCATGGATGCGTCCCATGTTTTGTTAGCAGTTTCTCTACGACTTTATATATAAGGGGATTATTTCTTTCATGTAGTGAAAGACAAATTCTTTTATGTCGAGAGACAAACAAAATGAACCCATTCATTTTAAAAAGAAAAAAAAAATGAGGCACATTTTTTTATGTGAATAACATGAGAAAGTAATCTTATGTTACAAGAAACTATAATTTCCCAATATATATACATACTTTTGTCTTATTCTATTCACTTCACAATAGTAGCCATCAAGCGAAAAACAACTACTCTTTGCCCTCCACCCTTTTTCATTGAAAAAAGAAAAAAAAAACTTTTACCCATTATGGACGAAGCTAGGTTCAGGCTTTAGAAGTTGAACGAATATTTTCATACAAAATTGTGCCCGAAAGAACCTCCCAGTCCCACAGCCGAAAACCAATCTGAATATCATGTTTAAAAATATATATATATATTAAATTTAAAAGCATGAAACAGAGGTAGTGATAGGTTGAGTTATTCCTAAGTATCCAGGAATATTGAACGAAGTAATATTCAATAGATACTCATCCAATAATAATAATAATAATTAAGATAATAAAAAAAAAAAGGCCGCATCAGAAGAATAGTGTCAGGAGCTTCTTTTCACTTTGAGAAGCACAACCCTCTGCTCTACTTCCCAACGTCGACATCTCCGATTCCTCGGACGGTGTTCCCGCACGTTGCTTCTTTGTAATTGTTTGGTGACACTGACACCTTCCACCGCCAACGACCACTCTCTCCGGTTGTTGTGCTTCATAGTTCTTGACGTCATCGAAACCAACCTTACTCTGTACCATTACTTGCTGATCACTAGAACCATCCACAAAGGATTCAAACCCCTCATCACTGTTATCTACACCCAAAAACTGAGGCAGAGGTGTCAACGCGCCACCACCTCGTAGCACTTTCTGGACCCCCAATTGGCAAAGGTGCCAGTTCCCAGTCCACAGCAGACCCACAGCTCCATTCACTGGATTAATAGTACGCCCCACAGCTTCATATAGAAGTGACTGAAACAAAGCTGTTAATATTGACATACACATACCACAAAGTCACAACCAATTACGCTAGTTAACTAATCATGGTTATTAATTATAAATTTATTGACCTGTTAATTAATTTGAGTGCACCAGCTTTTTTAATAAATATATTGCATTTATAGTCACAATTATGCATAAGAAATTATTCTTCCACAGTCCACACTAAAAAAAAATGATATATATATATATAGAAAAATAAAATTCCTTGTATTGATTATTGTACAACTACAAGTAGTATCTTCTTCCAAATTTAACTTGTAATTCAAATGAAGACCACCTGTGTCTTTGTATAAAATTGTAGATGCATGCAACTTAATATAGAGAAATTAAGATGAAATAATTCATTCCATGTGGCAGGTTGACAAATAATATTATGATCTTATGTATAGTCTTATTGATTATATCTAGATATATAGTTATTTGAAAGATTATTGATATAAGAAAATTAACGATATGATTTCATTTTATATACTGAATAAAAGAATAGAATTCATGTGGCACCACTTGTAGTGTATATATATATATATATATATATATATATATATATAGGCATACCAGATCTTTGGTTGGTGGGTACGGAGGAAAGGAAAGACATGAGGGTGGCACGGCCGTAGAACTTGGCGACGAAGATGGTGGCGTATGCCTGTGCTTGTGGGTTCTCTATCCATAGTAAGCAATGTCGTAGCATGCAGTCGTCGCTGCAACCCTTTCGGAGGACACGACAACCGTTGCAACTCATCCTTTTTTCTTCTTCTTTAATTGATCCAACACACCTTAATAAATATTTGAACTCACACTTCCCCACAAAAAATCTTAATTTAGATGAATCAACCAGAAACAATGTGTATGCAAGATTTATATGGAGGAAGGAAAGTGAGTTAGGCATATAATAATGGTAATAAAAGAGTGTGTGGGAACATGCGTCATCAATTAATCAACCCTTGTTCGCTTTGGTTTATCAATATTGTATTATATAAATTCAACCATGGTTGAGTTACTAATGGATAGGATCTTGTGGTGGCATTCCAAAGAAATGGGTGCTCGAGGCTGCTAAGGTTCTCCGCAAATGTTGGAATTTCTCCATAGTTGGATTCCCCTTTACAGCTCTATCTCTAACTTTCAAATTCTCTTTTAATCCCCAATTCGGATCAATGTAAATGAGGCTTAATTTATTGTTCTTATGAATATAGTGATTTATTATGTACTTATTGCTGTAAAATAACCTTTATTTATCTTTTTCTACATGTTTCAAGGATAGGATATTTTAATTATTTTTTTCCCCTGTCTTACCTATTCATTTTTGATATTATTAGATCAAAATTTTAATCTTTTTCTCTCTTTTTAAGATTCTGATCCAATAATATTAAAGATACGTAAATAAGGTAGGAAAAAATTTGATTGAATGACTTATCCCATATTTTTCAAAGCTAGTAAGAGAATATATTTTTATATTTTGATTTATGATAAATCAATCTATAGTTTCTTTTTCTTTTTTTGTAGACCGTAAAGAATCAATTCAACCCAAAAGCTTAAGCTATTGAGTGAGGCTACATTAAAGATTTTATATATCTCAACACGCCCCCTCACACGAGAGTCCACTGAGCTTGAAAGGTGGACAATGCACAGACCCACCTACCTGTACGAAGAAAGAAATTCCACTAGAAAGAAAGTGGGGGCGGTGAGGATCGAACCCAGTACACCGAACCTTTGATACCATATAAAGAACTAATTCAACCCAAAAACTTAAGCTATTGGGTGAAACTACATTAATAGTTTTATATATCTCAAGAACAATCAATCTATAGTTTCTATCCCAACTTTATTCTAATCACTTTACATAAATCCAAATAAAAGATTTCTTAACAACTCAAATGAGACGAGATCTAAACAATTAAAGCAATAATGATAACTTGAAAATGGGGATATTAATAAGGGATTAACGTTTTGTATATTGTGCAAGATAAAAAAAAAAAAATTATGCACATATAAGAATATATAAAATTATATGAAAATAAAATCTATTAATAATATATCAATTGTTTAAGGGCTTGCAGTTTTCCATGTTACATGAGAAATTTAAATTTTTTTTTTACAGAGAAAGAAAGAGGTGGGATCCACCTTAAAGAAAAAAATAAAAATTAAAAAAATGATTGACTCAAACATTAAAATAAAAGTGATAGGAGAGAAGACTTTTCATACTAACAGCAACAAGAAAGTTTTTTTTCCATTGTTTAAAGAAGTAGTGAAGTAGTGTGAGGTTTAATGATGCCTCATAAGTATGATGATGATTAGGCTAGCATAGGCATAGGAGGTACAGTCAGAAGTTGGATACGTGGCATTTGGCATCTTTTATCCAAAATGGACCACATTTGCATCCAAATGACAAGTGTTTAGCGTATTTTCCAACAAAATTAATGTTTGTGGAGAATGGGATTCCAATTAGATTAAACTTTTGCAGCTCAAATATTGGCCTTATACGCATGCATCTTATGTGGTTAAAGGTGACTCCACCATGGTATCAAGTTGTAGTTATATTTTAATTGGGGTCTGGGCCCAATACATCCCCTCTTGATTATTAATATTATTAAGGGTTTGATATTTGTCATTTTAAATGACATAAATTATATTATTTTAAAAGAGAGATAGACACAAAGAATGAAAATCATGAAAGAGAGAAAGTGAGTGTTTTTTTTAATTTAAATTTTAAAAAAAAATTATTTTGTGTCTATCTCTCTTAAAATGACATAACTTTATATCATTTAAAATGACAAACACTTTTCCCTATTATTAATTTTACTTATTATTAATTAAGTTTAATTAGGCCCTACACAGTTCAAAACTAGTTTGTGAAAGAGAGGGACTATTAGTGATGTATCTTCTTTTCAAAGTATCCGTGTCCCTTTGATGCATTAGAAAGACAAATGGGATTTGGGCATTATTATTATTATTATTATTACTTGCTTGCAGGCTCCGGACACGTGATTTTTTTGAAAATTTACGTGTCCGACACGGATACGCTCGGACACGTGTCCGACACGCGGTCAACATTTGGGGACACGCGGTCAACTCCCCGACACGTTCCGACACGTTTTTCCGACACGCAGTCAACTTTTTCGGACACGCGGTCAACGCTCGGACACGTTTTTATTTATTTATTTTTTTTGTTTTTTTTTTTTTTTTTTTTTTAAATCTTAATTTTATTACTTTAACTAAATATAAAATAAATAATTTATAAATTAATTTTTTTCTGTTACGAAATTTGACATGAAAATTTAACAAAGTACGAAAAATTATTTATATTTATATTTATGTTATGAAATTTAAATATTTGATTAGTTATATGAATTATTATACACTTTTATATGTATTAAATATAATTTATATTATATATATTAAAAAAATTATTTAATATCAAAACGTGTCCCAACGTGTCGAAATATGACATTTTTTAGAATTAACGTGTCGGCGTGTCGTGTCGTGTCCCGCGTCCGTGCATCATAGCTTGCAGGCACCTTTCAACCATTTTGACCTTTTTGTTGAATCTAATCTCAGTTAAAGTTTGGAAGATGCCCTCCCCTACCCCTCAATTTCAGCCATTTTATGACAATGATTTCAGTTTTTCTATTTTATCAATGTTTAGTGTATAATAAATAACCATTCCTAAAGCTTCGATTTCAACCTCTGCCACTCCTTTGTAATAAACGCTTAAATCTTGATTTTAGATATTTGGAGTAGCTCCAATGAAGCTGATTACACATTGTGACAGAAACGAAGTGGGGAAAAGTACAATATACACAATATTAACTAACTGAAGTTAACAGGTAGGTTATCAATGCTACTTCAGCATAGTAACTATTGGTTCCATCACTAATATTTATTCAAGTTTGATTGAACTTGTTGCCGCGGCACAATTATCTGGCCTAAGAAGTAGTAACCTTGATTTTATGAATATATTGTATTAATATTGGTATGCGGTTAATGGGTGCCGGATTACCTTTAATTATCAAATGTCTGTGACGTGCATTTTAAAGCATGCTTCTGTGAATTTGAGGGGAGCAATTTTGTTTCTTTTGATGTATGCTAGATAAACAAATGTGATAGTTTAAACTACAATTTCACAGCACTGACCTGTCTCTTGTCACTATTGTATTTGTACGGCAGAATTAAGTTATTTTTTATCCACTTTTTTTTTGTCTATACTGTATGTTGGAAGTCTCACTTTGAATTACGCTTGCACCAATTCTTCTGTACCATTGTGAAAAAGAGAAAAGGAAAGAAAATGAATATTTAAAAAATGGACAAGTGGCCGTTAGATTATATGCAAAACAACTTGTTTGACTTTCGGCTAAATAATGGAGCATAAGGATGCAGTTCCACAATATGTTGATGCATGTGTAATCAGACAGCCCCTCAGACCCCCCACAACTATAGCTTTATTTTAAATATTCCATGAATCTATATCTTTTATTCCACACTATTGGTTATTCTGACATTAGGTGTGAATAATTAAACAAGAGAAACTGTTGGACTTTAAACAAAAAGCCTTGCTGTAACTGAAGTTGTGATTACAATGGCAACCAACTTCGTTTATACCACATTAGGTTCCTTGTATTGGATAGGCGGTGTGCTTTTAGTCTCGGAAGATTTCAATTCCAAAAAAGTGCAAAGGGCTGCTTTGACAACTACTTTGATAAAGGAAAGATGTCATGGTTTACATGATTTTCATTCTTCACAATTATCCTTTCTTAAACTATATGTACTCTTAATTTAGAAGAGATAAATCACTAGTGTTGGGGTCTTCTTGTCATAGAGAAACTAATTTAAAAAAAAAAAGAAAAGAAAAGAAACAACAACAGAAAAGCCAAGAAAATGAACCAAACTAGTTTCAGGAAACTGAATGCCTCCTATTTCTGGATGGGGTAGATTTGGCTTCTTCTGGGTTAGCAGAACCAATACTCTCCGATGAGTCTGAGCCACTATTTTCTCCCTGTCCCCCTTTGCTGGCCCAGAGCTTTATGAAGGACTTCTTTGACTTGAGCAACCCTTTCATCTTGCCAATGACAACCTTGTCCATGCTGGGTTTCATGTCTCCATCTTTGTCACTGCTTCCAACTCCATTACTCAGCCTCAATGATGCAAGTTCCTTTCTTAATGCCTTCAGCTCCTCAGCTGTGGCCACAGCATCCGCGTCATCTTCAGGGTTAGTTGTCCCTGACCTTGAGCTACCATTGGATCCATTGTTCAAATCCTTGATTCCTTTAGGTATGTCAGGAGTGCTAGTACCTGATGATGCAGTTGTCCTCACCTGCTCAAAATATAGTACCTGCACAACTACACGCAATGGTAGCCTCTCATTTTGCACTGCATGCATGCATGCATCAACTGATAGCTTTCTGCAATCCATCAGTTTGCATATCCTCTTCCTTTCACCTTTGCTGATCCCAGGGTGTTCCTGTAGCGTGTCAAGCAAGAGAAAATAGATGGAATGCATCAGTTACCTCCACATACAACTTTCTAAAAGGGCATCAGACAGCAAACGCTAGTGGTGAAGCTAAAAGTATTACTGGATATTGAGCTTAGAATTTTAATGCACTAAAAATAAAATAGTAGGAGCATATTTTACCAAATATATAATGAAATTTGCAAGTCGAGTCAAAGAATTATCTTCTCAAGAACAACTAGTTACCTTCAGATATGTGTCAATAGCCCTGTAAAGGCCATCATGAGCAGGACGAGAGATGCTAGACACTAACTCAGCAAGATTAACAAAATCTGACAAAGGTAAATTGGGATCCTTTGCAATTTCGGCAAGGTATCCATCTATGAGTTTTGCAACCATCAACTTGGAAGCATCTGATAAAATTCCTGGCTTTCTTATCCCATCATGTTCACCACCCGCAACTGATTCAATATC